CCCGCCCCCCCCCAGGATTGACGCCCATGGATCTCTTTGAAATAGTGATGACTGGGTATGTATTGTGCAGTTTCTGCAATTTTTGGTGATATGCAATGATCACATATGAAAAACTTATTGTCAGCGATTTTATTTCCACCTTTTCCCCTTTAGGAATCATTTAAAGGGTACCCTCCACTCTCCACCTTCCACCCCACCCCACCCATATCCCCCTGCCCCACCCCACCCCCAACTCACAACATGTCCACACCCTCCTGCCTCCTCATCCCACCCACGCCCTTTTTGTTAACATTTTCAAAAGAATGTGTTGAAGCAAATCAAACTGGTCTATTTTGTACTAGCTTCATTAAAGTAGTACATTTAAGTGCATTAACGAAAGAAGAACTATTATGAAAATTTTCTAACAGTCTGAACATCTTTTGAAAAAAAAAATGTTCACAAATGATTGGAGTTTTTGGACCAGGATCGGTGAATTAACCCACTTGGATATCCATACCACCCAGGGTCTTTCCCAAGGTCAAGGGTGAAACTGTCCAAACCTTGGTGTATCTCCCCAATTTCCCCTGACTCCATGACCCCTGGCTGACCTCTAAACCTGTACTTTCAATGCCTACTACCATGGTTTCAGTGCAGCATATACCCAGCAGGGCGGAGGTCCAAAGTGTGAGCATTTTTTGCACAGTGCCGTGTAAATTATTGCAGTCTGGCTCTTCCCCTTGCTACCGACATCAATGCCGTCCCTGTGCTTTTTTCGAATTTCAACCTAGAATTTAGATTCCTTTTGTTTTAAACTGCTTGTTTTCTAGTAATACAAACGTTATTCACTTTTGAATGAGACATCGACTACAAAAATTGGCCCAAGTTCAGTTAGTGAATTATTACTTTACAAACTCCAATTAGTTGCAGCCCAACAATAATTCCATTCTCGCAGGATAGGGTGGTTCCTGTCCCACAATCAGTATCGATAATGTATGGACTGGGAGCAGTCTGCTCGCAATTAATTGTTGGATCTGTTTGTGCCCAAAATAAAAACTTCTTTTTTTTCCAGAGGTTTGCAGGCGCCCAAAAAGAGAAAAAATTAGGTTTTTAAGTTGGAATAAAACATACAAGTTGAAAAATATATTGAGAAAAAAATCACATGGAATGCAACTTTAAATACCCTTTTCCGTCAAAGTTCCAACATTTTGTTTGTGAATTGAACTATTTCCATATGTAATTACTGTTTTCTTCTATGCTTCGGTATTTTTGTTGAATAGTTAACTTGTGATATTTTTGCAAAACTTTCATGAAATTCACAGGCACGCAACTTTTCCTCGAATCCGCGGATTTCCTTGTTTTTTACCTCTCGTGAATGCCATAACAAATTGAAAAATGGTTTGGGGTTTCCTCTTTTTCTTCTAAATTCCCAGTTGCATGCCTGAATTTAGCCTTTAGCTGGATTTGTTTTTATCAAACAAACAAATTATACCAAGTGTACAAATAGTTTGTACGCTCATACATTTGGCATGATGTGTTGCATAAAGTTATCCATCAGAAGAATATACAGGGTGGGTGAAAAAAGGAAACCCAAAAGACAGGACCATTTTCTTAATGAAGATCTTCATGTTACACTTTCAAAATCTAGGATATGAAAGCCCAATTCCTAAGCTTTCTTTTAGTATAAGAATCATTCAAATCACTAATGTGCCTTTCAAGTTACGGAATTTTAAACACAACCACCATTTTAAATTTCCTTCCACGGATCACAAAAAAGGTGTGTGTTCTATCAGCAAAATGAACAAAATTCATACATATCGCTATTCAGCTTATTATTAATTGGGCTTTCATATCCTAGATTTTGACATTTGGGTTTCCTTTTTTTGACTTGCCATGTATATCTAGGATTTTTTTTTAATTGTACGACACCTGATGAACTTCAGTACTAATTTATTGAGTGAAGGTACCTTTTTAATTCGGCTTGTCTTGAACCCCAACTCGTCAGGCTATTAATTGCTGTTTGAGGGAAAAGAGAAGGGGATGGTTCAATCCACAAATGGAGAAATCGCTTTCTTACAAAATGCCCTACCTCCCCCCCCCCCAAAAAAAAAATCAGCCTTGCACACTTTAGGGTCTGTACCTGTACTACCCTACCTGGTTGGGTTGTCATTTTCTTATCAGGGTTGGGCGAAATATTTTACAGATGAAAACCAGAACAAAAAAAAATCAAAATGGCCAAATCAGCAAGTGGGTGAAAAAAGTTGACTATCTCTCAGGAGAGCAGGCTAACAAATTCTGCAGGCTTAGCAGTCTAAATCAGACAGAAAAGGGATGTTTTATCAATCAAGTTTCTGACTTTCCTTGCAAGTTCAGGAATGGTCCCATATGAAAGTGCCAAAGTTCAGGTCGGGTGAGAAACGTGTCATGATGTGAGCAGAAGGAGAGGAAATTATTGACATTTTTAGGTCACGGAGGATTTGATGTCTTCTACTAAGCAACTTTCTTTCTCCCCCCCCCCCCCCCCCCCCCACAATGTAGAATCAGGTTTGAGATTAAACTGTTTTAAGAATATTTTGATGATGTGTTATTTTCAAGTGTATAAAGACAAAAGATATGGTTTCATCATTCATGGACTTGAGAGTTTCATTTAAGTTTGAGAGCTGGTTCAATATAAAATTCCTCGTCACATTACCTGAAAACCAATATAATCAAACCGGAAATTGATTTCTTGGCAAAATTTCCATCAAATTTTACCGAGTGTGAAATTGAAGAAGTGATCTTGAAATTGAGTTTTTTTGGCGATCTGCCTAGGAATCCTTGAAAGAAACTTCCATCAAAATTTACCGAGTGTGAAATTGAAGAATTAATCTTGAAATTGAGTTTTTTTGGCAATCTGCCTAGGAATCTTTGAAAGAAATGAAAGAACAGCAAATACATCTCACAAATGTATTTTAATAGACGAAAAAGGGTTTGGAGGAGCAATGGCCAGTTTAACACACAATTTTAGCCAGGTTTACTGATTTGAAGACTTTTTTATAGAGTCTTTATTTTGAAGCTTAATCATTAAGCTTTGTCCCTTATGTAACTTAGCTCATAGTCTCAGAGTTTTAAGATTAGATTCAAGCCCAACGTGTCCCCTCCCCAACATCCTAAAGACAAACAGTTCTAAATGTGATTCAAAACGTCTCTGGAAAGTTTCAGTGTGGCCTCTAGGCTCTACAATCAGTTATTGGAATCATTTCAGAGTGTATTGGTTAGACTTCAGTTGTATGTTCAGATCCTTGAAACAAGTCAGGCAATAGACCATTATCATGTTGCGGCCATTTGGATTTTTCCCATGCAAATCAACGTAACCAAAGCGAAGCTGGAAGGAAAAATAGCTTGGTTCCTTTTTGTACAAAAAAACATTATCATTCAGTACTGTTATTGGATACAGGGAACATGACTGAAATGGTGGCAGCATGATAAAGGTCTATAGGACTGCAACTTGGCACGGTTCACGGAGACAGCTGACTTGGGCTTTAGGTCCGTGAAAAAAAGGAAAATACCTGAATTTTTATTTTACTATTGTAAATGTGCAGGGGGGGGGGGAGCTGCAATTTCAAATATCATTTTTAACTTGTTATTAAAATGGTACTTTTCCTCAATTTATGCTAAGTTCATGCAGAAGCAAAAACTGACCTCATTTTTTTTATTCTGCAATTTTATAAGAAAATAAACATTTCAAAGTTGGTCAGCTTTTCAAGAAGATTTCACCACTGCTGTGTATAATACCTTGATTAACTGTAAATATGTGCTCTTTTGTTGGTAAGGCTTAGATTTTGTTCTAGACCATTCTAAGTTTAAGGTGCCTATCGGTTGCTTCTTGTTTTAATGTAAGCATTTTTTGCATGTGTAAGATTTTAGAAGAATGAACGGATGTTTTAAGTTTTTTATTTACACATATTGGAAATTCATTGGAAATCTTCAGAAAAATCAGAAAAACTGCAAGACTAGTTGTTTTTCTATTGTGAATTGGCTTGCAAGCAAAACAGGCCAGAAACAAAACAAGCTAGTTAAGAAAGCAAACCCTCGTAATTTTCCCCTCCCTTGTCACCCCTCCCTTCAGTTCCCAGCGCCCCACCCCCATCCCCGCAATCCCCTTCCCCCATCAAGTGCTCAAGGCCTGTTGCCCCTCTTTCCAGGAAAACCAACAAAGATTTTTATTGAGTGCCCCACTCCAGCAAAGAGGCCCCTACACCTCCCCTCTCTTGCAACTTGGACCCCAGGTATGCATCGGCATATACTCATGTGTAATTCTGTTGTAATGCGGAAGATTATTGTGGAAGTACTTTATAAAGTTTCATCATCGAAGGGGAAGGGGGGGGGGGGTGTCTTTAACCACTTCCGGCATTCATTGACTGTGAAAACTATTACACATTGTGAGGTGTCATTAGAGCACACTGCAAACAGATTTACTGTCAGTAACAAGGTTCGGTTTAACCCGACTAAAAATAAAACAATCCTGACATAATTTTGAAAATCACCTGAAATACAATTAATTCCTGTATAAATATTTTTTTTTTTCGTGGGTGTGAACATGGATATATAGGCCTACTAGATACTCTTAAATAAGATTTATTTAAACTAGCCACCTGTTCATTTTAGCAATGATTTTTTTTTTGTATGACACACACTCTAGGAAACAATGTTAGTCATCAATCTTCACCCAAACACACTTAATGCTGCTTAGGGAATCCTCACTAGCACAGTCAGCTGAAGAAGAAGAAGAAAAAAAGTAAGATCAAAACCAAAATGGCTACCACATGAGAGTGGGGACAGCCCAAAAAAAATCTGAAGTGCTGACTTGACAAGGGCATTGGAAGCCCTCACTAAGTTATGTTGGTGGAGTCCCACACACAACTCCAGTTGTGCTGCACTGGCCCAATCTTTTTACTACCGGCAGGAAATTCAACAGCTGTGATTGGTCCAAAGAGTGACCCCCCTATGTCAGCTATCCCATAATAGCGGGATAAAACCAGCGGTGCCTGTCGTTGACTGAGAGCCCCAGCCTGGGAACTGAACTGAGGCCAGACAGTTTATTATTTTCATTGATCAGTCCGCAAAGATTGTACAAAAATGTATAGCTTTGTGGGACTCGTATCCCGCTATAGGCGGTTACTTCTGGTGTTTCTTGTCCTCTTCACGCTAGCCAATGCCCAGAGAGGTAAGTCCATTCTTTTTCCTACTTAACAATACAACTTTCATACCAAAATCTGTGTAAGAAAAATGAACAAAAATTCATGCCGGATTTTCTATTTTTTTGTAAATCAATCTCATGCATGATGGTCTAAGTCAATAAAAAAAAACGCAGCTTACTTGTGTGTGAAACCACCCCAAGTATCCATAATTTGTCATCTTGTTATTGCATTTGAACTTTTTTTATAATTGCATGCTTAAGAATCATTTTCAGCTTTTCCGAAATTGGGAAAAGTTTTTGTGCATGATGCACTGCTTTTTGCCCCTGTGCACATATCCCTCCCCCCTGAAAACAGCCTTGGCAAGTTAAACAAACCAGTAATTCAGACTGTTACCATAGAAATCCAAGTGTGATTGGGTATACACTATATAAATATAAGCAGATTGTTAATTGAATAGTTGAATAGTCATGGTAAGTGGTTTTGAGCCACGGACAAAGTTTAGATTTGTGTTTCGATTTCTAGAGTGCATAATGAAAAAGAAACAACTAGTAATAGTATTGCTTGACCAGGTTCTTGACCCTGAAGTGACCACACGTTTTGTTTTGATACTTTTGTATGAACAAAGTATTTCCTATTTTTTGTTTCAAGTTGAAATGTCGTTTTGGAAGCTCTGTATAAATTGTATGATTGGATTTTGAAGTCCTTCAACATCTTTTCTTGTGCCATTTAAAACAAAAAGGTAGGCATAAAATGTTAGCTACATCATGTATTTGCATGTACTATTCTGTGCATTTGAGTTTTGGCAGACTTTTGCTACAGTGGTCACTAAAGGGTTTAAGAAATTTCCCGAAAAGTATATGCGTGTACTCCCTGAGATTATTTTATTATTAAATATTAAAAAATAGGTAACAAATTTCAACAAATGCTTGGTTTTTTTTCAATTAGTATTAATTTGACAAAAATTAATTTGACAAAATTGGTTTGACATTGTTCAAATCTAGGCTACTCGCAATTCTCAATTCTAAAAATGCCTTCAAGTTCAATGTCGTCCGTATGAATTAAGCAAAACCACTAAATCCAGTATCTTAGGCGTTCACGTAACTTTTGAACTATAACTTCAATAAGTGATTCTATTCCTTTTTTAATAGTTAATGGAGTACCTAAGTGTTATGTCATTTAGAACCGGAAAGTGTAGTGCAAACGAATGGAGTACGCGCGCCTGTTGGTTCTCAGGCAGAATCACGCGCTAATGTCTTTCACACTCATTTTGTGTTCGGTTTCACTTCGGTACTCCATACTTGATTGGGATGAGAAAAAACGGTGATAAATTCAGGACAAAACCTAGTATTGTAGTAAAAGTTGGATAGTTTCTGTCAGGTTTTGATAAATTTTGTAGCCGTCAGGTATTAAATCTTTTAAAGTTTATCAGGAAATCTATTTTGAAAGTGAGAGTGTGATACAATGCAAAGACTTTAATTATTTTCAATTAAAGACACACAATTTCTGTGAGCATGAACATGATAGCCAAACAATGCATGTACATGTACAAGTAGTAGTCTTGGTAGCTGACTTCCTATGCATATTCATGAGTGGGAGGAGTTATGCCAACATTATACGCCCACTCCAGTTCATCTGGTAGTAACTGCTTAGTCAGCAGTTGTATCAGGTTGAATATAAAAACATGTTTCTCCTATCAAAAGTCCAATATTTCTGTATTGCTTCTTTTTTTTTCTTGTGGGAATTCTGCTTTTTGACATGTTTCTGAAAACTTTAGGGATTTTTGGATGTCAGTCAAACAAAACTTCAGTCCAATTCAGTTCATGTTTTTTTTTTTGTAATTTGCTTGATCAAGCACAATTTCTGTAAACCCTGCAAGAGCTCAGACCTATGCTCTTTCAGCTGCATCAGCAATTTTCAAGACCTCCTGGAGATTCTTACAGATGCTATAATTTGGGTCATGACCTTGCCACCAACTCCCCCAACGGTTGTTACTAAGTGCCAGTTGTTCTTGGGAGTAATGTCTCGAGCTCTTCAACTTAACTTTTCTTAAAGAAGCTTAATTTCTGCACGCATTGTCAAACCGACTTTCTTAATCTAAATCACATTCTTCCCATTTAAAATTTAAGTTCAAGCCTCACCAAACTTTTTATTCAATTCGAACTTTCCATTTTTCTTTTAAATCTGAAAGTGTGGTAAGGGTATTAATCTCTTAACTTCAGTCTTAGTGGAAAAAAAAGTATCCTGTGTAATTTTTTAAAAAGTTTTTCTGGTCTTGAATTGCAATCAGGTTTTGTGATTGACCTTTAAAACCCCCTGTTGGCATGTCTGAACCAACAAAAATTGAAAAACCTGTCACGTAGACTAAAAAATGATGACTGCAGACAGACTTCTGGGATCACTAAACCTGACCCCTGACCTCAAGCCAGAGAACCAATCAGCAGGCACGCCAGGTGCAGTAACCCGCTGACTAGGCATAAACCGATAAAAAAAAATCAAAGAAAAGATAAGGGGAAAAAATCTCAAGGCAAGGAAGTTAGTGGTGTTTGTGGGGAGCTGAGGGAGACAACTCTTCGCTGCTATGCAAGGTCAGCACGCAGCCCCCCCCAAAAAAACCTGAGTTGGCCCTTTGGGTTTTCCTCTCAGACGACCTTTAGGATTCCATACCACAAGTTCAGATTGCCAAAGAAAAAAAAATGGTCCTTTTTTTTCTAGCTCTTGTTTTTTTCCGCTCTGTCAGCACCTTGATTTATGAAAGAGCTTTACTCAGCAGTTTTTTTGTGGTGGTTGATGATGTGGGGTCTGGTAGGTGGTTAATAGAATTGAAAGCTTGCAAAAAATTGGGATATTGTTAAAATAATATCTTAACTAACATCTTACTGAGTTTGTTTGCTTTTGAAGTTAAAGCATCTTCTTCCAACTTCTTACTAAGACTTTTCAATTCGTTTTTATTGATACAGTTAATTTTAGAGTATTACAATAAAATTTAATATGCAGTCATAGACTTTTCATTTTAATACTTTTCCTCCAAATTTCAGACAAAAGATTCAAAAAGTTTTACCAAAGTTTTACCAACATTATTTTCCTGCGAGAAGAATTTGCTAGATTCTGAGAGCCAGGCTATCCTTTCCTTATTCCCTCAAAGCTCCCACATCTCCCGTAAGATCACCTCAAAAAATGTTCCCACCTTTTTGCTGCCAACCAAATTATAAGATAATTTAATTTGATGTTGCATTGCTGAACTACTGCAGTGAATATTTGCCACATTACAAAGCTGTTGCATGTTCACAGAGAACAAGAACTGTATAGAAACGACAAAGAAAGAAGCAAATTATTTTGTGGCAAATCTTCTCTGTCTTGTGGTGCGTTTTTGTGTGTGTTATGTTTTTGTGTTACGTTTAAAAGTCCTGCACGATTTTGCATGCTGAGCACACAAGTAAGCTGTGCGTTTCTTTTTCCTTTTTTTCAGACCAAAATATATTTTGCATAATTTCTGTATAATTTTCTGCTGTTTTTCCATCTTGAAGAAAAAAAAATCCTTTCTACGATATCTGTCATGCATGAGATTGAATTGAATGTTTTCTTTGAGTTCTTTTGAACAAGTAAATTTAAGTTGTTTTCGTTTATTGTATTTTGCCATTTCCATTTTTGATTTGTGCATTGTATTTTGTGCATGATTGCATGTGTATTGAGTTTTTTTTGTAATATTTTTGTGTATGTAGATGATGTAATGAATATGCATGGTTTGATTTGCATGAATTTTTTTAAACCCCCTACCTCCTGGGAATTGAGAAAAAAAATGAAAATCTGCATGTGACCTGCATGTGACAATCATGTGACAGACATGTGATGCCCACACACCTTGCATGAATTGTGCATTTGAATAGCATGAGTTTCCAAAAGTTCAGTTTCTGTTCATAAACAAATGTTCATTGTATTGTGACTGTTTGGCAGTTAAGCATCTCAGAAATTATCAACTTGTTTGGTTAAAATGGCAGTATATTTGTTTTGTTCAGAAAAAAAAGAAGACGTAAAATTGGCATCATGAATCGAAAACAAAATCATCCAATCAATTCTAAAGACAATTTTTGGAATGTTAAAAAAGAATTGCATTGTAAATTCTGTACTCAAATTCATAATCCGAGTGCAATTGGCCCATTTTAGGACCCGCCCCATTTATATCAAACCACTAATAAGTTTCAGTTAATGGCGTGGAGTGAACTACACTTAACCTTTGTAAACCCTTCTCTGATTGGATAAAAGTAACCTGATTCTCAAGCAGGTCAGCCAATCAGCAGTCTCCTTACTGTATTTTTTATTAACTCTAAAATTTGCATGCTGATATTTTTTGAATATTAAACAGTCACTTGTGATGATCCATCTTGATTAGAATAAATGAAATTCAAGAAATATCCAATTGTTTGTGAAATTTATTTTTAACTGTTATACTCAGCACTTTGAATGTGATCTTTCCACACACACAAATCTTTCGTGTGGGGATTGTGTGGGAATTACTGGATTCTCTTTCAGTGCTAAATAGCGGTTTGGGGGAATTTTTTTTTAAAGATTTTTATTTCAGCTGTTGATTTTAAATACTCCATTGTTGTTGCAATGAAGTTTGGAAATGTTGGCCAAATGGTCAGATTTTTCACATGCACAAAAGTTAAGTCACTGAAAGTGAAAAAAAAATACAAATTAATTTCAAATATCCCCTTTTATGTCATTGGCCTTGTAACTTCCAAAATTAACATATTGTATAGCAAGATGGATCATCCCAACCAGTGTTTCTTTTCGTTGTTATTTCTGTTGATTTTTAGTCACTTTCCCAATGCAACTCTCTTTTAAGTTTTTATTTGAATTTAGAGGGATGTTTCTCCAAGAATCTGGCTTCCCGTCATGTGACTAGTCCGTTCCTGGTCATGTGACCACTTCCTTTCACCCTTCCTCTGCGTGCGGATCAGGACTGTGGTACTTGGTGATTTTAAAACACCCCCCCCCCCCCGAAAAAAAAGTTCCCCTTGTCATCACTTCACTTTCCAACCTGAAACCTTTCCATTTCAACATGTCACCTTTACCCTCATGTTGTTCTGATTCTTTTTCTATTTGTCACTTTTTTGTCTATTTTGAATCGACTCTCCAGGATGAAAAATAACTGAAAAAAAGACTGCAGTCTAAAACAAAGAAAACAAATTGCCTGATAAAGTTACTTTCATTTACTTTTTCTACTTTTGACCGTTTTAGCTACGAAACTGATCAGGTTTCTGTCCGAAATTTTCAAAAAGATGCCATTTTTCACTGCGTTTCGGAACATCATATCAAACATACTCTTGGCAGCATTGTAATGCGCATTTCACGTTGCACCATCTTGGTCAAGTTTCCAGAGGTCACTGTGTAGATCATGAGTGGGGTCTATACATCATAAGGCACCAGTCTACCTAACCTCTCTCTTTGTTTCCCTTGCCCTTCCTTTGAATGTTTGGTTGGTTTTGTTGTTTCCCGGACTTGCCTGTGTTCATCATTTTACCCTTTTGTCTACCAACACCATGCCTGTCCATGTCATTGCTTGTTAGTTTTACGAAAAAGAGAAAAAGTGCAGTGGGATTGAGAAAAAAAAATAGTTGTGAAAGTGTGAGAGTGAGTGTGAGGGTTTTTAAATTTAAAAAAAAATATCTGCATCCAAAAAAAATCTGAAGTTAAAAAGATCTTAACTGTTCTTTTAGGAGGTTGTTACTGAAATTTGTTTAAGGACTTAATTTAGGAAATACTCAAATCTAACAAAGTATTGCAACAAAGTGCTGGTATACCCATTCACAGTTGGGTGACGTGGTGTCAAAAAACATCTGGAGAAAAGAACATTGATATTGCATTTATTTGGCACGCTGGTAAATGAATGTTCTTCAAAAATCCCATAGTGAAAATTCACATGTTTGACTTTTAATGACTTTTTAAACACCAAGGCTAGTTTCATCACAATTCGAAGTTGAGTTGTTAAAAGTTTACACTGACATGGCATTAAAAAAACAATAATTACAAAGTTATCCTGTGTGCTTGTACTTATTTACTTGATTTTAACCACGAAAAAATGTGATCAACAACTGAAGAAAAAAAACCCGACGATACAACAGAAGATGAATCAAAGAGTGCTACAGTGACGTTGAGAAAAACCTGCCCAAAAATCTTGATTGTATGTGGTCCACAGGGGGCATTGTCGAGTCCGAACTGGCTTCTGATTTGTCATTTTCAATCGGGTCTTCGTTCGTGGAGCCCTTGTTGCCGTGCCCTCATCTGAGCGAGATTTATATGCACGGCGAGACGTGGCAATATGACGATTGCACAACTTGCACTTGTGACAATTCGACAACTAAATGCGTGATAGAAAGCTGCCAGGACCTGCCCTGCACTGATCGTATATTTGTTGATGGCGAGTGCTGCGGAAAATGCCCGTTTTGTAAGTACAACACTTTGATCTTGTTCACAACTTTTCTTTATCAGTAATTTCATTTCACAGAAGAATTGAAATGTCTAAGTGATTCCTATAACAAAAAATGTATTTTGGAATTATCTATTTTGGAATTATAGTATTCACCGAAATTTTCAACATGAATATTGAGTTTGAACGTCAGTTTTCAAATTGTTATAGAGATGTCCAATATTACTCTCTTTTGTTCTGATTTTTTGGGCAATGATTGTTATTCTGTGTTTCAAGTTATGTACCACTTTTCCAGAAGTACATGTGTCGGCGTACAAGTTATCCATAAGATTCATTGTTTTACAGATGCTATTATAACCAGTCTAAGCCCTGTACTCAGTGGGTTGAGGCCCTTCGTGACTGAGGGAAACACTCGTCGAGTACAGCTGAACATGGACGTGGGATTCGTGAATTCCGATGATACCACAACAATCCGCGGCAAAAGACTCTGGCAGCTAAGCACGTGGATCAGCCGTGACCCCCGAGGCGAGGGGCCACAAATCGCATTCGTCGAGCAAGTCTTAACCGTGGACCAGCAGGCCACGACGCTGTTGAAAAGGAGTCCCTTCCGGTTTCGCAACATCAACTACGCGGCGGACTTGGTTGGTGAGACATGTGCAGTGGTCAAATACATCTGCGTGAGGTTTGCCCAAGAACCAACGGCAAATCCAAGTTTCTTTTTCAGTGCCGAGCCTGACGAAGAGGTGTTGACTGAATGTATTCTTGCACCACCTTGCCAAGGTGAGAGTGATAGTATTAAATTCCTATCAAGTGCTGTACTGAACCTTCATAAAACTGAAGGTTAATTTGTTTCTAATTTGCATAACTTCGTAGACATTTTGCAAATGGCTCAAATGTTACAGAAAGTTTGAAACTTGTCAACCAGTCGCAACTCGAATCACAAGCTATTCAAATTAGCTGTGATGTCTTTATCACTTTGTAATCCCCAGTTACTTGTGTCGGGAGTTGTGAAAGGAAGTTTGATTTACTTGTTGCTGAACTTTTGATGAACTGCAACACTATGTCTTATTTTTCCATTCATTAGGTGTTGTTGCAAGAGGTCTAACCTGGAATTACAGAGCCAGCACCGTCATCGCGGGACAGGCCAACCCCCTCTTCATCATGGCGACGGCTCACTTCATGGAAACGAGTCGCAGCGTGTCGGGCACGGGGCTGTGGCGCCTTGGCATCTTCGGCAGCCGGAGCGAATTCGGCTACGGCGAGCGATTCAACTACGTGAATCAGACCCTAAAAGCCGTGGATGCCAACAAGCCACTGGTGCCCGGCACGTCGGCTGACATCAAGTACGCAGAGGCCATGGCGTACTTTGATATCGCCGCAATCGGCTGCAACGGTTTCAATTATGCCTGCATGGAATTGACAAAAGGGGACAACGCAGAGCCCGATTTCACATTTTCAGTGTTTGATGACCGCGAGGGTGATGATATTTTTACAGTGTGCGAGATGGCGACTTGCAGAGCAGGTAACAAATGAAAAAAAAATAACTTTTTTGCTTCTCAAAATTGACTTGTTATTTTTTCTTGAAATTCTTGAACATCGTCACCCAGATCTTATTGGCTCTTCACCAATTTGTTTCCCTTTGTCTCTCTCAGTGTCACAAATTCGTGAGGTCAACACAGAGCTTATAATGGGATCGATAGTAGACAACAGACCAGTCAACCCATTCAGCATCACGATGGAGGTCTCGGGCGACAATGTCGGTGCAGCGGGCATGGACCTGTGGCGCGTCAGCGCTTTCGGCTCAAACTCGCCCCAAGGTCTCGGCCCGAAACTGAACTACCAGACTCAGGTTCTGAGCGAGGAGCAGCAAGATATTACACTGGAGCTGCTGCGGCCTATGCACCTTGGCGCCATCAACTTCAACTTTGACATGACCGGGTTGACGTGCCTTGAGGTCAGTTACATCTGCTTGACATTTAACAAACTGGAAGAATCAACAACTGTTTTCAGTTTGAACCCTGTTACTGAAGAGGTCCTCACTAATTGCAAACCTACGGAATGTGATGGTGAGTTGATATTCCTGGTTGAAGAATGTTTTGCATCTTTGAATATGTTTAAATCAATCGATAAATGCTTGATTTTTACACGGAGGGATCTTGAACTGATTTTTTACTCTTAACCACAAATTTTCTTTTATTAACCTACAGCTGTGTTTGCACGCCATTTGTCATGGGACCATGAATCTGAACAAGTAACGCTAGGCCTGAAGAGCCCCATCACCATAAGCAGCATGGTGGAATTCACACCGACCGGTAAAAACGTCAGCGGAACAAACCTCTGGAAGCTGTCACTGTTTGGCAGTAAAAACAAGCAGGGGACCGGGGATCGATTCACACCAATTGAACAGCTCCTAACTGATTCACAAACGGCCATGACAATGCGCTCAGGGTCGCCACTTCATTTTGACGATTTGAGAACCGAGTTTGACGTGGGTTGGTTAGGATGCGGAGAATTCCAGTTCCTCTGCCTTGAGTTTGCCCGCGGGGACAATCCTGAACCCGAGTTCCATTTGCTGTATGAGACGAACACAACTTCTTTGGTTACTTGTAAACGGAGCACTTGTGAATCAGGTGGGTAAGAAAGCAGTTAATGTTCTACAATTCAAAATTCTGTAACTTTGTTTAACTATCTCGATGAACTTTTTCTTATCAAAGTTTTTGTTGTTGTTGCAGTTTTGAACTTGGAAAACTTTCAAGTCGAGCTTGTGAGGGGCTCTGTCGTGGATGGTAGCCCCACCAACAGATTTGTCCTACGCAGCTCCATGCTCAGCCCAGACCTCGGTATCTCTGGAGATGACCTCTGGCAAATGACTGCCTTTGGGAGCCGTAATGCAGACGGCGTCGGCCAAAGGTACTACGAGCAAGCACAGGTCCTAGATCGTGTCCAACAGGACATGGGGGTGGAAACAGGCCAGGAGCTGAACTTTGACCCCATAAGGTTGAACTTTGACATGACCCGGCTCAGCTGCCGGGATGTGAGATACCTCTGTCTGACGCTGGAGAAGAATCCGAGTTCCTCAGTTGATTTCTCGCTGAGTGCAGAAGATGGGCTGACCAGATGCGTGGAAGTTGAATGTGAAGGTAAGTTAGACACAGAACATTTCTGTTTTGAAAATTTCTCATTCTTGTATAGTAGTGTTTCAAGTTATTTACTGTTTTTATTTGCTCCTTAACCATGTTTGTGTTTGATGATACTTTTCAAAATGAATGCTGCATTCTACCAAACTTGAGTTTAATCTTTTGATCCATACTTTCAGTTTACTGCTTGTTTTAGAAATTGTCAAAAACTGATGTGTACTTAAGTTAGATGCTTTGTTGTCTTTGAACCTGTAGGTGTTTTTGCCAGAAGTTTAAACTGGCAGTACCGTCCAGTGAGTGTCACTCTTGGCCAAGACAGCCCCCTCGTAATTAATGCCACCGTACAAATGACTGACCTGGGCAGCACCTTGTCTGGCTCAAACCTGTGGCAACTGGGCATCTTCGGCAGCAAGTCCGCCACAGGCGAGGGGCCGCGCTACAACCGTCAGAAACAAATACTGAGCAGACGGCAGGCCCGGCTGGAGTACAGTCCCCTCGGTTCCCAGCTACGCTTTGACCAGACAGGAACGACTTTCGACATAGGGGCCATCGGCTGTTCCGAGTTCACTCACCTCTGTTTGGAGTTTGGCAAAGCGGAGTCACCCAGACCACAGTTTCCGTTCTTCACAGAAGATGGAGCATCAACCCTAGTTCAGTGTCAGGAGAGAGCCTGTTCAGCCAGTAAGTCCTATCCCATTACTTCTTATCTTACATCAATGAATAAAGTGGTTGTCATTATATATTTAGTCATCCGCTTGGATATGACAGTCAAGAAGCAAGAGTTACAGACAAGTGTTCACCTTATTTTGTTCTTCTAGATGTCGGCATCAAGCCACTTTCTACCAGACTGCGTCAGGGATCCATTGTTGACAATCGGCCCATCAATCGGATCCGAATGGATGCATCCACACAGAGTGTAGATCTTGGCGTTGCCGGAAACAACCTCTGGCGTTTATCAACCTTTGGGAGCAGCAACAACAATGGAACAGGAACGCGATACGGAGAACAGCTCCAAGCGCTGAATCAGAGACAGCGGGGCACGACTCTCCCGCCCGACGGCGGTGAGTTGGACTTCGGATCAATAGAGTTCAACTTTGACATGACAGAGATGGGCTGTGCCGAAGTGAGGTTTATGTGTATGTCTTTCAGTCGCGATCCTGGTGCAAGCCTCGAGTTTACGTTGATTCCCCAGCCAGAGAGTGCGCTCACCAGCTGCCAACCGTTAGATTGTGAAGGTACATTTCAATTCATGTTTCTAAAAGTATCCATCTTCAAGTTTTTACATTAATGTGTCATTATGAATCGTGCCTCATTAAGATTATTTGGGGGACATAAAAAAATAGTCCAGTTTCCTTATGGTAATTCATCCTTATTGTTTGTATCTTTTTGATTGTGTGTATCTCAGGTGTTTATGCAGAGAGTCTGTCGTTCGATCTCGAAACCCCTGAGCTAATCCTCGGCCAGAAAAGTCCAGTCATCGTTCATGCCAACGTCACAATGTCCGACATCAGTGCCGACGTTTCCGGCGAGCAGCTCTGGAAACTCAGTCTCTTCGGCAGCCAGAACCCTGACGGTCAGGGCGAGCGGTTCGGCACCAGCTCGCAGATCCTGAGCGAAGAACTCGAAGGTCTGGACTACGAGCGAGGCAGTCCGTTGGTCTTTCCTGAAAGCATCAGCCTGTTCAACATCGGCGCCATCGGCTGTAAGAAAGGGATGTACGTTTGCTTAGAATTTGGCCAGACCAATCGACCCAGACCACAGTTCCACTTTTTCACAGTCACCGGGGAGCCCACGTTGATAACATGCCAAGAAAGAAGTTGTGAATCAGGTAAGAAAAGTGTCCTTGCTTTTTTTTTTTTTTTTTTTTCATGAAAAAGTTTTCTTGACGTACTTCTTCATTTGAATTCGGATTGCTTACCAACCATGCTGTCACATTTTTTACAAGAGAGAATTTGAAAAGGGAAAATGGAAACGAAGTGATGCCTTTGTAAAATCTCAGTCTTTCGATCAGTTGAACCATTTTCTGTTTCATCATTTCTCTTGAAACAGCAATTAGATTCAATCCACTGCAAACCACACTCATCTCAGGCTCAGTAGTCGACGACCGCACACAGAATCGCATACAGATGGGTGTGTCCATCGACGGCAGTACAGTAGGAATGACCGGAAGTCGTTTGTGGGAACTCTCCACCTTTGCAAGCAGTAACCCCGACGGCTCAGGCAAGAGATACCTAGAGAGGCAGCAAGTCCTGAATGGCGCACAGGCCGACTCGGCACTACTCCCGGGTCAACCCTTGAATTTCGGAAACGTGGACTTCAATTTTGACATGACGGGTCGAGGCTGCGGAGAGGTCCAGTATGCCTGCGTTACCCTCCAGCGGAACCCGCGGGCATCCATCGAGTTTGACATCGAGGCACAGCCCGATGAAAGTGCGCTCACAAGTTGCCAACGGCTAGATTGTGATGGTGAGTGAACCGCTGAAATAGGTCGTATCTAGCATCTGATGAAGTAGTTGTTGCTGTGAAAGCTTATGCAAACTTGTGTTCTTGTCAGTCATTTGAAGTGCTACCTTACTTTTCCATGTGATTGCTGAAGTATGCGATATTCAATCCGTTAACATTCAATAATTCAATCCAATTCAATTTTGGTTTCATAAAATAGCCACTTGTAACAGCCTGCTGGCTGAACTAAAGACAGTTTTATAAGTTTAAAACTTTTAAAAATCAATTTAAAAATTAAAAAAATTAAGATTTAATATTAATATGAAATCCATATGTCCAAATTTATAACTAAGATTGACTGCTCCAACTAAACCGACAAGGTCGTACTTAATACCCTGACTCTATTTTTTCCCTCAGGCGTTTTCTTTGAATCAATGAACTGGCTGTATGAAACCGATCCAGTGATGCTCGGTGAGGAGACGGGAATGGACGTTCACGCCATGATTCAGAGCAAAGCAGGCACACGGGACGTCCAAGGGGAGGGCCTGTGGCAGCTCAACCTCTTCGCAAGTCGCAACCCGGACGGTAGTGAAGACCGACTCGGTCTAAAGCGGCAGATCCTGGATGAGCAGACGGCCAGCCAGCCTCTAGAGGGCAGCACACCGCTCAATCTGCTCAACGTCCGGACAGCGTTCGACTTGAGCCGAGTCGGTTGCTCCGAGTACCTTTACCTGTGCCTTGAGTTTGCCAGGGGTAGGATTCCCAATCCGCCGTTTTACATGTTCACAACGGCTGGCACCCCGACCCTCATCAGCTGCCAAACTCAGCCCTGTCAATCAGGTACGATGAATATTCATCAGTTTATTTAATTTTCAGTATCAGACTTCACAGTTTTTCCAAGTTTATACTTTCCATTTTAAGGAAAAATTTTTTTTCATTAAGCAGTTGTTCTTTTCCTGTATTTTGTCTGCAGCTGTTGATATTGTTGATGTTGCATCCACACCTGTTATCGGTGATGTCGTTGAAGAGCGCCCCCTCAATCTCTTGACGTTCAACCTGACGGCCTTTTCGTCGCCGTCCTCGGTGGGTCTCGCTGGTTCAAACTTGTGGCGGGTCACCGTCTTTGGCAGCAACAGCCGTCAGGGAGAGGGTCCCGAATTGAACCCACAGGAGCAGGCTCTTGCAGGCAGCCAGGCCGACATGGATCTGAAGCCCGGCGGACGGGTCGAGTTCGGCCCGCTGAATGTGAACTACAACATGCTTGGTGTGGATTGCACGTCCATCAGCTACGTCTGCGCCCGCCTCGGCAAAAACCCCTCGGCGAGTGTGGATTACACGCTCCAAGCCACGCCAGATGAAAGTGTGTTAACACAATGCCAACCTGTGAATTGCAGAGGTACTTAAAGATCACCTACTCTAAATGCGCACAGTTTCAATTCTTCATGAGTATCAACAGCTATGATAATCACATTTTTATAAACTTTTAAGTGAATAGTTTTGTTTAAAAAATGCTATTGTCAACAGTTTTCTTCTTTTTCATTTCAAAGGTGTTTTAGCAGAGTCTCTGACTTGGGGCTATAATGCAAGGAATACAATCATCAACCAGCCAAGTCCAATCACCGTCGACGCCACTGTCGACATGTCCGACAGTCGGCAACTCTCTGGCTCGGGGCTGTGGCGTATGGGTCTATTCGCCAGCCAGAATGGTGACGGCACTGGCCCCCGCCTCAACTACACGGAGCAGATACTGGATGCAAGAGCAGCCGGGACTCCCCTCGCCACGAACTATCCGCTGTCCATCGGCGGTGTGCAGACAGAGTTTGATATCGGCTCGCTGGGCTGTGCTGAGTTCACGCACCTCTGCGCCGAGTTCAGCCAGGGCGAGAATCCTTCACCGGGATTCAAATTTGAGGTTTCTGGCAGTGGGGAAATGATCACCAAATGCATGGAAGTGGAATGTGCTGCAGGTAGGGTTTTGAGTGATGCTCAAGGAAAATGCAAGAATATGCTTTTATGACAATTTACGCAATTTCATGGTATAATTGGATTTTAGAATCAATACGATTGGTCAGCTAAATTGAACTTATGTTTTACCAACAGATGTGACATTAAGTGGCCTGTCTGCTGTGTTGACCAATAATAAAGTTAAGGAAGGCTCCGGTAACCAGTTTAGACTTCAAGTTCGAGCTACCCCAGGCAGGGATACAAAAGGCGTGGCAGGGTCTGGACTGTGGCAGCTGTCTGCCTATGTGACTTCTGATCCTTCGTCGGATGAGAAGCTGGCCCTGCGGACGCAGACACTCACTCTGCAACAGGAGGATCTGACTCTCCAACCGAGACAGATCCTGGACTTTGGCAACGTAGAGTACAAGCATGACCTGACTGGTGTCCAGTGCAGTCAGACTGGCTACTTGTGCGTCGAACTTAACAAGGGACCCTCACCGAGTACGACGTTTAATCTTCTAACTGTGCCTGAAGGAAGCCCACTAAAGGCCTGCAATCCTCTGCAGTGCAAAGGCGTACAAGTGGACCGCATTGATTGGTCCTACGAAGCTTCCAATGTCATTCCCGGCAAGCAGACACCATTTGCAATTCAAGCAAGTATCTCAATGACCGAAGATACCCGCGAACTTAGCGGCAAAGGTCTGTGGCGGCTCGGTCTGTTTGGGAGCCGTAACCCAGACGGCTCTGGAGAGAGACACGACTACGTCAGACAGACACTAAACCGTGATCAGTCTGGCAGCCCGATCACATCAGGAGGCAATGTAGACCTGGCAGATATAAATACCCAGTTTGATGCCGGGACAGTTGGGTGCACCGACTACCAATACATTTGTCTAGAGGTTGCCAAAGGCGATACGGCCGATCCAGATTTCACCTTCGGAGTGACAAACCACAGGAGCGATTCGACTGCTGAAGAAATGGTGTCCTGCAAGAAAGCTCCCTGTGATGCACGTGAGTTCTCATTTTTTACCACTCTTAAAACTCATCATAATTACCATCATTCATGGAAAATGTTGTCATCAAGTTGATAAAAGATACATTTTTACTTTTGGAACTTGAACACTTAATTTGAATCTTTCTTTACAGGAGCGGAGTTTATCAACCTGAACGCAGCTCTAACAGACAACAATCCCATCTTGGAAGACAATCGAGACAATGAGGTCTACATGTCTGTCCTGGCTCTTGCCAGTCTCCAGAGCAGCGCCATCATGGGCGAGAACCTGTGGCAGCTAAAAGCTTACCTCTCATCAGACGAGAACGGCAGAGGCCGCCAATATGCCCTCCAGCCTCAAATCCTCACCTCATCAGAACAGAGGAACGAACCACTGGAAGCGGCCGGCGATTTGAGCTGGATGGACCTGCGGGTTCCACTGGACATGTCAGGCTTGGAATGTTCCAAGACACCCTATCTGTGCCTGACGTTGGAGAAGAATGACAAGTCCACAATGGACTTCACTGTGGTTGGCATTCCGGATGATGACGTCCTGAATGACTGCATCGACATCACAAGCAGATGTGAAGGTAAACATCATCTTATTTCTACATTCATTTTGGCATCATTTTTGGACTGCATAAATACTGTCAATTAAAAAAAATCTTGGTGGTCCAAGACCTAAAAACAATACAATGTGGCCATTTGGGCAGATTGACTGAAAATTGGCTGATTTTTTTCCGGAGTTAGAAGGAGGTAAAGTGCCGCATAACAACTGTCACACACCTGATCAAAATGGGCTCTTATTTTAAAGATCAGGTGTTCTTTAAGGTCAAATATGTTTTTCATATTTATTCAATTAAACTGTTCCACTTCTCTGTCACCAGGGGTGGTTGCCACGGAGCTGGAATGGAGCCATGAGGTAGGCGACTTTATGGCAGGTCAGCCGGCCTCACTTAGTTTGGACGTCGCTGTGAAAACCACAGACAAGAGCCGTGATGTGGAAGGCCTGAGGCTGTGGCGCCTGGGTCTATTCGGCAGCCGGCAGGCAAATGGTGGGGGTCCGCGTCTGGCTAACGTGGACCAGATTCTAGACCCCTACCGCCAAGCTACACAGCTGACAGGCGGCACCCCGCTACAATTCACTGACATCCCGGCCAGTTATGATCTGGGCCAGCTGGGCTGCTCCGACTACCAGTTCTTGTGTCTGGAGTTTGAGAAGGCTGATACGGCTCAGCCCGATTTCGCCTTCAAGATTTTGTCTGGGGAGGAGACTCTGGTATCATGCAAACCTCAGCCTTGTCGGGGTAAAGATTATATAAACGATCAATATGTTGTTTTTCTCATGAATAATGAATAAAATAAAAATGGTATTAATTAATTTCGATTTTGGGGGGGAGGGGGGTGGGAGGGGGACCGCAGTGGGTTGGGGGCAGAGTCGGGGGAGAGTTAACAAAGTCTCTACATTTTGTTAAAAGCGTAGATCATATATAAGTTAGCATTTAATTTCATTGTTTCTCTTTCAGGAATTTATCTGACTGGGTTGACCAGTACCCCGGGTGCTATTGAACTCCGAGAAGGTAGCTCGACCAACACAATTGAGTTCACGTCAGAAGCCACCAGCTCGCCTTTGGGCGGGGGCGTGCAGGGCGCCAACCTGTGGCGCATGGCGGTCTATGGCAGTGGTCAGCCTGATGGCAGGGGCCCACGCTATGGCTTCCAATCCCAAGCCCTGACAGGATACCACCGAAGCTTGCCGCTTGCGCACGCCGGCGACCCAATCGAGTTCCAGTCCGTCGCAGTGGACTTTGACATGAGGGGGGTCAAGTGTGCCAATGTGAAACACTTCTGTACCGAGTTGAGCAAGGATCCGGCATCCTCACCAGACTTCCAGCTAATGCCTGTGCCAAATGACGAGGTTTTAACTAGCTGCTTTCCCGTACCAGCAAGAGCATGCACAGGTAATTAAATGAAATCAAATAAATAAGTAAGAAACGTCCTCAACTCATTCTCAAATTCCTCATTTCAATTTATCAGTGTTAAATTTTTTGTTTACAAAGTGTTAGACTGAAAATATTCATCCATCCTGATTTCTTTTTTTGGTAGGTCTAGTGTTGAGCAACATGGACTGGACCATGGAAAGCGGCAAGGTTGTGAACGACCAAAGCAATGATTTCTCCCTCAACATTGATGTGGACTCCCTGCCCGGCGGTGCCCAAGTCGCGGGTAGCCGGCTCTGGCGCGTTGGCATCTTCGGTAGTCGCAATGAAGACGGAACAGGAGACCGATTGGGCTACCGGGCCCAGATCCTCGACCGAAGGACAGCCTCGGCAAGTCTCACGCCAGGCTCGTACCTGCGAATGACCGACGTACAGGCCCAGTATGATTTCAGTCGGTTGGGGTGCGAGCTGGAGTACCAATATTTCTGCGTCGAGTTTGCCAAAGGGGTCAAGGCGCACCCTGACTTCAATATGAGAGTACAAGGCCGGAGAGGAAACACGCTGGTCAACTGCAAGATGGTCGAGTGTAAACAACGTGAGTCCATGTTTGAACGATGTATCCTTTTATTTTCTCCTGTAAAGCTTTCACAATAGACATATCTGTCTGAAATTGATAAAATGTAGGCAGCTTGCAAAACGGTTTCCATTGCGAGTTTTGTTCCTTAAACCAACATTGCATGCCTTGATCACACTACTAATGTTTCTATATCGATATCAAGGAACTTGGAAATGAATACATTTTCTCGCTTTCTTTCTCTCCATAGCCATAAAAATTGGAAGGGTACAAACTCAAGATGTCGGCAATAATGCCAATTTGGTAGAGGGCAACCGCTACAATCGGGTCATGTTCACCCTAGACGCGGCTACAACCCCCGACAGCGGTTCCCTGACTGGTGACAGACTATGGGCACTGACAGTCTTCGGGAGTCAAGACCCGACCGGCACAGGAAGGAAACTCAACCCCCAGAACTTGTACACCTTGTCCCGCTACCAAGAAAGCAAAGACGTCGATGGTGGGCAGCCCATCTTGTTTGGTTACGTCGACGTCAATTACGACATGACGGGTTTGTCGTGCACAGACGTCAAGTTCATCTGCGCGAAGCTCAGGAAGCACGATAATCCCAGCCCCGATTTTGAGCTGATAGCTGTACCCGATCCGAGGGTTCTAACCGACTGTTTCCAAGTGAAATGTGATGGTACGGAAACAATCTTTAATCATACATTTCTTAAAAAGAAAGACTAGACTAACTTTGGAAAAGAAGCGTGATTCAAAAACAGATTTAATTTCACTTATTTTGAATTTTTAAAAGTACTTTTTGGTATGAAATTTTGATTGTTTTGATATACTTTAGGTGTATTCTTTGTAAGTTATTGAACTTGTTCTTACTTTACATATTTTACAGGTGTCATTGTCGAGGGCACTCGTTTGGAACTGTCTGGATCCAGTGAACTGGATGTTGGCGTTAATGATCTCAACTTTGATGTGTCAGTGGTGTCCAGCGGCAACGGTGCCGAAGTCAGCGGCAGAAACCTGTGGCGGGTAGAATTCTTCACCGCCAGAAACAGGGAGGGAACCGAGGAAAAGAGCATCATCCAGAGCCAGACCCTGACCCCCCAGATGGCCAGCCAGGACCTGCAGGCGGGCGCCATCCTCAACTTCCGCAACCTGGCCGCCCGGATCAACCGCGATCAACTCGGCTGCCAACACGACAACTTCCTCTGCGTCAACCTGCAAAAAGCCGACCGGCCGTCCAAAGCCTTCACCCTGGAAGGGGCCTCCCCAGAGGCCCTGGTCCATTGCCTCAAAGTCAGCTGCGTTAAAAAACGTTAGTTGGTGGCCTAGGAGTTTGGAAGATAACTCCATGTCGGTAGCCAGGACTAAGACTTGCTTGGTTGTTTTGCAAAGAAGTTTTCTATTTAAAAGGATGGTTGTTTGCAATGCATTGAAGAAAGTGTGTGATCTGAACGTGGGTGGTCATTTACAGAATGCAAAAATGCAGTTGGGAGTGGAGAGAAAGAGATGTGTTTTCCCGATTTTTAATGGTCCCCTCGTTTCACTGTTTCATCACATTCCACATTTATTTGTTTTTTTCCCTCCCATGTGTTTGTAAAGTAATATTCCTTGTACCACATTCTCCTCAAAATTGACATCCTCCGACCCCTCTCCGCCATAAGCTCAGAAAACTGGAAGCCAGAATCTTGGAGAACTCGCTTCTGTAATCCATCTCAGTTCCTTTTTCTCAAAAATTAACGTTCTTGATATCCCTTTCTGATTTTGTTCCCTTCCGCTGGTGGCACTTTTCTATCTTACTTCTGTGCTGTCTGCAGCTCCTAGCAAGTTGGTAAGTCAATCCTCGAAATCTTGTCTTACTTAATTTACTAATATCAAACATAAAATGTTTCCATACAAGAGATTTAGAAGGAAAAGAAATCTGTTCTTGTTTCACACTGGTCTTAATATATACCTGGTAGGTTCCTGCCGTATCGTAATACAGTGGTGAAAGCCAATATCGTCTTTCCATGGTAAAAGTAATAGTCTTTTCCTGAATGATTTGTACTTGTCTGTGGGTATTAATCTCAGGGATTTCTCCACTTTTTGTCACCCAATTTTTGACAGGTTGGACCGAAGGGAGATAGAGGACCAAAGGGCGAGCCTGGTGCCGGCATAGCCGGTGGCAGTGGGGTGAGTTACACCACGGAATTAGCCGATCAGTACCACCTCAAATCGGTGTTGATGTCGATGTACGGGTGATGGATCACAAGCCATCGCAAGCAAATCACAAGTCATCCAATCCTAAGTCACTCAAATGAATGTGGCAATGAATCCTTTACTACTGTTCACCCCGTGTTACTTATGACTGGCCTTGCGAATCGACTTGTGATTTGGTTGTGACCAGACTTGTGATGCACTCGTGATCCGTTACTGGCACTTTGACTACTACATGTACACTGCTTCGGATGGACCCAAGTGGACTTAAAAACGGGCTCTTTCACTCTGGGATATGTAAAATTGAGAAGAAGAAGTGCAGAAGTTTGTTTTAGTGGATTCAACCTAATTTCCATGTTCGTCTGTTTTGCTCTGCAACAGATCGCACCAGCGGCTGGACCCCCCGGATTGCCGGGCCCCCGTGGCCCAACGGTAAGAACAAGGATTTCTTCACATTCGTTTTTGACTTGTTAATTGGTCAGAAGTAGATTTACAAAAGTTATTCAGTTGGATAATTACTTAACATCTGACAGAGGCAAAACTGCTGTTGTGGCTAAACCATAAAGGAGTCATTCCAAAACGTCAAAAGAGTCACAATTCTTGTACATATTTTGACATTCATGGAGTAATTTTATTTTCAAATTTCTACATTTTTTGTTTAGGGATCACGTGGTGATAGTGGAGGTTCAGGACCACAGGGACCACAGGGAATGAAGGTAAGTGGTCAGTGGTTGTACTAATTGTAAAAAAAAAAAAAAAAATGCTGAATAGAATTTTGTCCTTCTTTTTAGTTTGTCTCCATTATTGAAATGTGATTAGCAAAACCTCTCCGGCTGTCAAAATCCTAAAGTTTTTGTGTTCTCTACCTCACACATACATTTGCAATGAAAAAAACCTTTTTATGACTTGAAAATTTGATTGCATTGCAAAAGCTGAACTTTACCAATCGGCCATGTACTTTAACTTTTCCCTGCTGTTTTAAAACATTTTTCGTTCGAATTCACCGATTCTCACATTCTAATTCGTCCAGCAAAATCAATTTAGTGCACTTCCAATGTTTCATTTCCTCTTTTGTCAGACAATTTCAAATTTAGTCCAATGAAATTCAAACAAAGAGCACACGTTTTCCACCCCGGAGTATTCGATTTTGTCTTGTCTACGCCGAATCGTGTTATTCAAAAATCAAATTCGTCTAATAAATTTATATGAGACGAATTGGATCTCTGAATGCTGTCATTGGGCAACAGCTTGGACAAATTTGATCCGTAATGACGAATATTCCTGACCCGGTGACTAAAGAGGATGACCGAACTTTGAAAATGAATGGTTAATTACTAATTTTTTTTTTAAAGCGTGTGAAATTATTCGTGGACAAAATGAAATGATAGAGTTGGTGAATTTGAGTTCAAAATCTTTTAAAATAGCCGGGAAAACCTATATAAAGCAAATAGAGAAAGCAATAGAGACAGAGAAAACAAACATGATTTCCCTTATTTACTTTCATCATAAACCACAGCTTGCTTCGAGTCTGGCAAGGGAAGGAACTTAAATAATCCTTCTTTGTTTTCTTTTTCTCCTTTTCTGTGTCTTGTAGGGAGACACAGGAGTTAGAGGAAGGGTCGGCCTACCCGGACCTCCTGGCAGGGCGGGTCCCCCTGGCAGCCCAGGAACGGTAAAATATAGAGCAATCCTTTGATCTCTCAAATAAACAGGCGTGGGGGTTTTCGAAACCTCGGCTTTCCCTCCAGCTTTCACTACAAATCCGGATTTAATGAATTCCTGTAGCAGAAGATGGACCCATGTTGAGCCAGGGTCTGAATCTCCTGGAACTGAAGCTGGTATGAAGCCACGGCTTTGGAAACGTCCGTAGAACCAACAGCACATCATTGTTCTTGTCACTTTTGATTGGGAGGTCAACTTGGAGCAAGTGTAGGCGGGGACTGTGGTTTAACCATAGCTAGACTAACTTTATTCTAGCGAAGGATGGTTGGACCACTCTAGTTATTTAACCAATAGCCTCGCACATCGTAACTCACAGCAGAGAGGCAGGATCAAGACGTTTCATGATAATGTTTTCACCAGAGTTTTGGGTTTGTTTATTTTTTTCTTTTCAGTTGGCAGCAAATGCTCAAGTCAGTCAACAAGGCTACAAGGGTGTTCTTCCCGGCGCTTTCCAGTACCCACAAGCCTCCGTTCAGGTGAGTTATGAAATATCACCCAATCGAGGTTCATTATGTGTGTTCATTCAGCCATCGTGGGGTTCACAGATACCCCAGACCTAAGTTCAGCTTCAAACATCCCCCAATGAAACATTGACATTTCGGGAGACAACAAAAATAGGGTTAGTTCAGCTTCGTGTATCCCCCAGTAAAATTGTGACATTTTGGGAGACAGCAAACATAGGGTTGGATACCTCAGTTGGTAGAGCACCAGAACATTGTTCTAGTGGTGGTAGGTTCAAATCCTGCCTACTACAGTCCACTATAAAACCCTGTTTCACCTTACATTAACATTATTTGGGAATTCACAAAAAAAGGATATAAGTGAACATCTTTTGAAAGTTGAAATGGCCAGCGTCTGTACAGAAGTCATTTAGCGTTGCACTTGAGACATTCATGAAACCCCCTTAGCAGGCGTGCAACCTCGGATCAGCGGATTTTTCCTCATTTGTAACTTAAAACACATTTTTTAAAATCTTGTAAAGCTTGAATTTCCTCTAATTTTTGGTTTCTTCTCAGGTGCATGCATGCCTTAAATTAAAAAAAAATCATTGGAAAATTCATGTTTACAAAACCTTATTCAGTGTGACTGTGTGCATTGTTTTTTGTTAATTAGTAAATACAGTTAACATTTTTTTTTTCTTCCTTTTCCTTCCTTTGCTAGGGACCCCCTGGCCCACGTGGTCCTCCAGGCAGCCCAGGACAGAGAGTAAGTTGGAAGAATTGTTCAAAAATCAAAAAGTCAGACGGCTTAACTTAAAAAGCAAACAAAAAAGGATTCATCACAAACTAGCCAGTATAAACTGTACAGTAAAAGTACTTGAAATGGAGATATCTAATCTACATGATTGTTTTGACTCGTGCACTGTAGTTTTGACTATTGTCTGATAGTAAAACACTGATAACTCTCTTGCTTTTTACTGTTCTGATTTTTGGTATTTTTATTTGAGAAACATTAGAACTTAAATCATGAAAGCACAGAGAAGTCATGGCCTTTTTGTTCCACAACTGTTTCATGTTTTGCTTTCCTCTAGGGAGCACAAGGAATGATTGGTTCTGCTGGCCAAACTGGAGAACCAGGACCCGCGGTAAGTAAAAGTAATTCATGAAATATTCAAAGAGTCCTACTGTATTCCTTGGTTTTTTTTTTTACATTTATTTTTGTCAATTCAGTAGTTAAAAAGATTCTATGCCAAACAAGCGCATGATATAGGAAGCTGCGGGTCGACGCATTTGTGTTGAAGCATGCGTGACATGATTGTGCCATGTAATTTCTGGAAGGAGTAGTGTTTTCAGTACAAACATCAGGTTTTTGACCCTGTGACCCAATTTGCCAAGACTGCATAAATTGGTGATTTATAGCCATGCAAGGCCATTGCTGAAGTTTGTTACTAACTAACTTACCAAGCATCCAACTAAACAGAGAGACATGAGGATTTGTTGAGCTGCTTTCCGCAGCTAAAAAGTCTTGCCCTACAACCGCTGGGGATGGAGACTAGAGACATGATAGATCTCACCCCTCCAAATTTCCATAGCCCCTCCCCCTCTAACTTGGAGGAAGCACAGATAAAGATCTGAAGAAAGGCTGATTGTTTTTTTTTTTGGTTGTTCTCAGGGACCTGCAGGACCTGGCGGACCCCCAGGACCCCCAGGCAGAAATGGAAACGATGTAAGTTTGAAACATTCTTAACTTATCCATGGATTAAATCTTGTTAATTGCTTGAATATTTCAATAACATCCCCAAAAAAGTAGTTTGCACACATTTTTGCGCCTGTTTAATGATTAGGAATGTGAATGTTTCTGTGGATAGAAGGAAGAGCAGAAGTACCAAAAATCAGTGTCTTGTGTTTTTTTGTTTTTCTTTGGTTTTTGTAGACAGTTATGACAGTTTTTGTATATATTTTTTTACAGGGAGATGATGGCAAGGATGGAGCCTCAGGACCCACTGGACCACCAGGAGCTTCTGGATCCCGCGGTGCCCCGGGCAGACCCGGCAGCCCAGGCATGAAGGGACACGCTGGCTTCGCTGGACTGCCCGGAATGAAGGGAGACACAGGTGGAAAGGGAGAAAGAGGATCTGATGGTGCCACAGGCCCTTCGGGAGCCCCTGGACTTCCAGGAGCCGCAGGACCACAGGGAGAGAGAGGACGTACTGGATCTCAGGGTGAGACCGGCCCAGCAGGAGCCGATGGCTCATCAGGATCGCAGGGACCGTCAGGCCCACCAGGACCTACCGGAGCACCCGGTATGCCCGGACCTGTGGGAGCAAAGGGAGACGCAGGCAGCCAAGGTGGACGTGGACCCCAAGGTGTTCAGGGTACAAGAGGCGAGCGCGGTAGTGATGGTGGGCCTGGAGCCCCAGGTGCCCCCGGAGCAGCCGGACGCGATGGAAGCCAAGGAGCGAAGGGAGCCACTGGCGCCACCGGCGCCATGGGATCACCAGGCTTCCAGGGACCCACCGGACCCCCAGGACTGGCCGGTGCTGTAGGAGCCCCCGGTGCCAAGGGAGACCAAGGTGCACCGGGTGCTTCAGGTGAGCGCGGTGAGGCTGGACCACAAGGACCTACTGGTGAGATCGGACCACAAGGACCTTCTGGAGAATCAGGACAGGATGGACCCAGAGTGAGAAGAATTGTCATCTTTTTTTTAATGTTAATTAATGCAAACTCCCCAAAGTAGTTGGACATGAGAATTATCATTCTTGCATCTCATTCACACCCCTAAGATTCACACCAATATTAAATCCCCTCTTACAATTTGTAAGAAGACTAATAAAGTCAACAAATGCTCCCTCCCTTTAATAGTACTCTCTATCTCTCCTGAAAAAAGATACATAAATATAACCTCTGTGGTAGTATTATATTTGACATGCACCAATTTACTGATTTCTTGTTTCTTTATTTCAAACCAGGGTGCTAGAGGATCACCAGGAGCTACTGGCCCACCAGGAGCTGCTGGAGAACGCGTGAGTAATGTGTAATTTTTTTGGTTTTTTTTTTTTAATTTAAAAGTCTTTTCTTGGGCCATAAAAAGCATTATCGCCCAAAACAATAAATTGCAGTGTGCAAATCAGCATTCCTTGGAAACCTTAGGGAAATGTAAACTAATGATTCTCCATGAAAATTTGACTGATTTTTTTTCTCTGTTTATGGTTTGCAAAGCAGGAAAAAGTACTATTTGCTAAAAAAAATGAGTAGAGGTTGATCGTTATTTGTGGGTTTTCAATCTCTGTACTTCAATTATCTCTCCCTGCTTTTCCTCAACAAATGTAAGCTGTGTTGGAATACTGAAGATTAAAGGGACACTAGGTCCTGGAACAGCCCAATTGGGCTACAAAACGCGCTTTGAACGAGATGATGTTAATCGGAAATAACATTTAAAAGTAGGATATAAACACCCACACTACTATCCTTTCAAAACTAGGTGTTTTTGTGTTATTCCTGTATTGTGCGGGCGAGAACGAATTTTGGGGTCCACTTTGCGACCCCATAAACTCGAGCTGTTTGGATGCTAGTTGTGATTCATTTGTAAAGTGTTCGCCTTTTGCGGACGTTGAGAAACCCTAAAAACGTAGTTGTGATCCATGTGTCCGATGTAAACAAGCGGTTTTTTATCCGTCTTTTGGCAGGAACGGTTAGACATTAGGTTGGTTTCCTTTCAACCAGATGTTTGAAGTAAACAATCCAAAACGTGAAATTTTCGGGGATTTCAGGACCTAGTGCCCCTTTAACATGTATCAGAATAAAGCACCAGAATTGTGTGTTGACAAGCATTACAAAATTCCACAAAGACACTTTAGAAGGGAGAAGAAGTATTGCAGTCCTCAGAAAAAAAAATTATTGTGAAAATTCAGATTTCTGATGTGATTTCAAAGATTCTTCTGGTCTCTTTTTCCTTTTTTCCAGGGATCTATTGGTCCAATGGGACCTTCTGGACCTTCTGGAGCACCAGGACCTCGGGTAAATAATGACTCAAGACTCATAAGAAGACAGTAAAACACATGGCAAAAAGCAGCTTCAAAGGCAGAATTGGCAGGAAATAGTGATGGCAGTAGTAGAAATCTCCTTATGTGTGGAAACGTTATTACATAAAATGCCATGAGCTACGCATCACTACTTAAATTAGCACAAGTTCTCTGTTAACTTGTGAAGTTTGTTTTTTTCTCCAACCCAACTCAGTCTATTTTTTCGGGCAGTCTATTTTTCAACGCTATTGATTGTATTCATCATGTGTTGTTAAGGCCAGCCATCATGAATATTCATCAAGTTCATTGTCTTGTCTCTTTTAGGGCCCCCCAGGAGAGAGGGGAGCACGCGGAGAGCAGGGAGCGAAGGGTAACGAGGTATGTTTGTGGGTTTGTTTGTTTTTTCGCCGCTAAAATGCCAAATTAAGATTTAAATGTTGGTGTTGGTGTGGTATTCTTCTGTACAAAGTAAAGTCTGAGTCAATATGGCCCATCAGGCGGTGTCTCCTTGGAGAAACAACTGACATTATTTCTATTCCCCCTGGATGGGATGCCAGTCCATCACAAGTCACTCCCCAGCTAATGCCAGTACCCGTTTTTACTCCTGGATGGAGAGAGAGTTGGGGTGAAGTGGCTTGCCCAAGGACACAACATACGGCCAGTAGCAGGATTCCAAACCCTGACTCTCCAATCATGGGTCAAGAACCCTAACCACTTGGCCGCTTGCCCCCTGTTTGTACCCTTTGCCAAATAACATACTTAGAACTTCAAGTAATAAAGAAAAATACTATTGAGCAGCAGTCATCGTAATGGCAGAATTTGTTAAGAATTTTTGAAAATCAAACAGAGGAACTTGTTATTTGAGTAATAGTTATATTTACCCCGTACCAAAGTAATGTTCCTGACGCTGTGTGTGCGGCGCCGTCAGAGAGTCTGTGAGAAATAAACTTGACAAGCATACACTTTTTACAGTTTTGACTCAAATCTGTGAGTCGCTATTGTGAATAATTTCTGTCTAGTTTTAACTTAATATCGCATATTCATTTTTTGCATTGAAATACAGGGTGAGCCAGGCCGTGCTGGAGAGCCCGGAATTGCAGGATCAAGAGTAAGTATCAAATCCAAACTTTTTTGGTCAAAACTGAAGTTGATATTATTATTTCAGAATGATTTCAGCAACCGCTGTTTTTAAGTTATTTAAATTCATGTTTTTCCTCATAACATCTAAGGAAATGAGCAGTTGAACCGTGCGACAAGAAGTCTCTCGTATGTGATTCTGATAAGATCTGGTGGGAAGCTCAACGTTTCTGACAGCATGCCGTGTTCGTTGTCAGGGAACCATTTTAATTTTTCTTCCAATTTGCCTTTTGACTGTCTCGACTAGTTTGGTTGTAGTCATCGGTGGTGTTCTTTTGCTGATTCATGTTTTTGCACAAAAAGACCACTTCTTTGGCCTTGATATCTGTATCGATAATTTTATTTTCTGTTTAATTTGAAAGGGATTGACTGGTGCCCCAGGAAAGGAAGGACGTGATGGCAAGCCAGGACAAGCCGTGAGTTTGAATGCTTTTTCTTTTTTTCCCATTTATTGTTAATTTGTACTTGCGTAATGCGTACGCGTGACGTTACGATGTCATGATGTACACAACTTACGAGTTTGACGCCCTTTGTGCGCACCAAATATCCTTCGGTACGATAAGTATACAACTCGCATGAGAACCATACAGAACTTCGGCAGTTTTAGTCGGTAGAGGCAATAACTGACAGGGTTGTTTCGGGCAGTACTGAGAATGAGAAAAGTCTACAGTTGATGTTATTCTTATAAAAAAAAAAAAGATGAATGGAAGCTATTTTTGGCAAATGTGGGGACCAGCTAAAGTATTACTGAGAATTCACGTATTTGCGTGGAAGATGTATTTTTCGGTTTGTTTTGTTCATGGATTTGCTTTGAAAGTTTCTATTCTTCTGGGTTTTTTTTCGTTGACAGGGACCATCCGGTGAAGATGGCCGACCGGGATCCCCAGGTGCCCAGGTATGAATTTTTTCATATTTCATTTTTTTTTTTATTAAATGGTAAGAACTATTTTGAAAACCTCTAAACTTGTACAAGACATTTAGAAAGTTTGTGATGGAACGAAGATCTGTTTAGTTGTAGACAAGGTTGCCTTATAGTCAATGTTAGCCTTTTGATCGGGCTAATGTAGCTCTGCTTCATTTATGACGAAATTAGTGTCCATCGCAAATTAATGTCTTCTTGGTTATTAAAAACAGTGAAATTTTTAAAAAAATTCTCACCATACAGGGACAACGTGGACTTCAAGGAATTCAGGGTCTGCCAGGATCTGCAGGAGCACAGGTAAATTCAACCAACCAAAAATCCATTATTTTATAAATTCTTGAAAAAACAACAAAAAACAATTCTAAAACCGACATTTTATTAATTTTAGAGTATTTGAAGATGGGTGCTCTAATAGTTATAATAAGTGGGTATTTATAAAGCGCATGTATCCACCAGGACTGGTGCTCAAGACGCTACATCATTATTACCCTACAAGTAAGCATTTTACGGACTCGCACATTTGTAACTGTCTCAAATGTTCACCATGGATTGTATTTTAGGCAATAACCGTGCATCTCTTTATATCATTTTTTTTTTTTTTTTTTTTTTTTTTTTTTTTTTTTTTATTGTTTCGTTTTTGGGACTTCAGATCGTAACCATGTTGTTTTTTACACTATGCATTATCCTTTGTGGCGATGAGACAAGAAAATCATCTCGCTCTACAAACAACAGCCTCATTGGGTTTGTTTTTTCGTTCTCAATTTTTTGACAGGGTGAGCGTGGAGCTGACGGTGCCCCAGGAGCCCCAGGTTCACAAGGCGCCCCGGTAAGTCAAAGAGAAACCAAAACAAATACGATTGGCCATCCTGATTCGTGCTCAATTGTTCCTCGATACGTTAAAGGCTGTACTACATCCATTCTTTGCCACCATTTTTTGAGAAAAAAAAACCCTCATATTTTTTGTCCATCATTGGTATCTGTAACCCCCAAAAACACATGTTTTATTTTGAGTTACTCTGCTCTTGATTGCACGAAATAAAAAAATAAATGTCCGAATCATTCTCGGAGTGCAAGGTATTCAAAATTTCTCAAGTAATTTTGCCTTCACAAAACTCTGGTAGATTGTTTTTCATCTGCTGTTGCATTCAAACTATGTAAAGCTGTAATAATATTAGTTTTCGCAAATTGAAATTTTTCGGGAGGGATTTTTTTTTTTTAAGTGGAACAAGGAGAGCAATTGTAATTACAAAGAAGAAAGAGCACTTTTTTTTGGGGGGGGGAGGGGGGATTAAACCATTTTCAACGTCAAGTTTATACCTCTGGTTCTTCTCAGAACCATTCTCTTAGTTGAGAAATGATTCCCACATGGTGTTTCCGCAGACTCCTCATTCATTAGTATCTCCACCATGCCAAGCCTCAAATGTTACTCATTTTCTTTTTGTTCCTCTGACAGGGTGAAGCCGGCAAACAAGGAAACCCTGGACCTGCTGGACCAGCTGGACCAACTGGAAACGTCGGAGAGAGAGGTTCAGGTGGACCACAAGGACCTAGTGGACCAATGGTAGGTAGATGTCATTTGTGACACCTGTTTAGAGGGGGGAAACAACACCTTCCGCTTACGCGTCATCCAATACAGGGTGAGTTAAAAAAAAAAAAAAAAAAATGTCGGGACAATTGTTTTAGTGAAGTTCTGCATGTAGCACTTTCAAAATCTAGGATATGAAAGCCTCAGTCATAAGCTTTTTGTTAGTACAAAAATCATTCAAATCACTCATGTACTTAAACGCAAGTTTAAAACGGAGTTTTAAACGCAACCACCGTTTTAAAGTTCTGTCCACGGATCACACAAATGGTGAGTGTTCTTCCAGCAAAACGAAAACAATTCACACGCATCCTTATGTGATTTTACACATCTTTTTTAGTGATCCGTTGACAGAACCTTAAAACTGTATTTAAGACTCCGTAACTTGAAAAGTACACGAGTGATTCGAATGATTCTTGTACTAAACAAAAGGAAAACAAAATATCAGTTCGAGAGGAATACTACGACCATGCAACACTTCCTGGCCCTCTGTTGACAATCAGTTTTATACAAATGTCTATCCTCTTATCTATCACTAAGTTATTCTTGCAGCTTTACGTTTCCATTACGTTGGAAAATCTGAATTGACGCTTGTCATGAACTGCATTTTATTTTTGTTACGTTACAATGTGATATTTTTTTTGTCCAACCAGGGCCCACCTGGACCAACTGGAGCCCCGGGTGAGCAGGGACCTGCTGGAGATGTTGGAGCACCAGGCGAATCTGGCCCATCCGGACCCATTGGACCAAGAGTAAGTTATTGTTGTAACCCCCCCCCCCCCCCCCCACCAAATGAAATTTCCCGCCCCCCCCCAAAAAAAAAAAAAATTAATAAAACCAAAAACAAATGCAAAACACATTATTAATATTAATGAAATCCAATGCAACAAGAATAGAAAGTGAAATAAAAGTTTTTAAGAAATTAAACACAATTTTTTGTCTTATTTTCCAAACCAAATATTTTTTAGATTTTTTTTTTAACTTGTACAAACTGTTAGCAGCAGTTAGTTCTATTTTTCCCCTTGGGACTAATCTGAATGGTTGTATAGATATTCATAGCTGCCAACTATTACGAATTTTTCGTAATTATTACGAATTGTTTCTTAAATTACGAAAATAAGAATTGCCACTAAAAACTTACAAATTTTCTACCTAACGAAAAAAGAAATACTTGTAAAGTATCGTTTTTGCCCAAAAACTTCTGGCGAAATGTTACAATAATGGATGGACTGGTGACAAGTCTTATAAGCAATGCGGTCAAGCACCTGATAGACATCAATGTGGTGTGCGCAGTGGAGTACTTGAGGACTAGACTAAAAATATTCTTCAATGGTGTGTCATTATTTGTGCATGTGCACCTCGTGGATGTGTGGTTGTGTGTACTGTGACTACTTTTCAGTGACGATCGTGAGCACAATTGGTCGCTTATTGCCGGGATGAGACCCATCAGTGCGAGATTTTGATCATGGAATTTAATAAGAGTATGGTTGGAAGAATTGGTAATAGAGTTTGAGTTTATCACAACGTCCAGAAAAGATATATCAGCATGCGTTTGCAAGGTATGTTGGCGGGATATTTCTATTGCGTACGGTGGCCCTAAATTATTGTGTGTAAAAACATGATACGAACTCGAAACTCAACATCGATAGCATGCATCTCAAAACAGTATGCGCACATGTTATTATTGTTATATTTATTTGACTTCAACAAACAAATACAGACAGTAAAACAAAATTAATTTTAAAAAATTATAATTTTTTTTTTTTTTTTTTAAATTTAAATCCTATCATGGCCTACAGTACATTATTAATCACAACAAGAAGGGTATGCACATGTACGTGTACATGTAAACCATGCACCTGTACTCGAAGTTGGTAAAGCTGGTACATACACTGTTAATATACAAGCAGTTGAAAGTGACCACGCAGGTTGATTGCTAATTAGGATTTTGAAAAGTTGGCAGCTATGGATATTGGGATGAGGTGGAGGAAGTATCTCAATACATATTTAAGTTGTAAGAAAATTAGCCTTTTTTGTAGCCGGCGTTACAGACATATCTTTGGGTTTTTGTTAACAGGGAGAACGTGGAGGCCAGGGCGAGAGAGGAGCCCCAGGAACTGCCGGACCGCCAGGAAAGCGTGGTACCAGTGGACGCAGCGGTTCTGATGGACGCAAGGGCGACGTTGGAGCCAAGGGAGACGCAGGCTTGCCAGGACCATCTGGACCCCAAGGTGCCCCAGGTGAGCGAGGACCCGGCGGACCCCCAGGACCTTCTGGAGCTACTGGAGCTGTTGGACCCACCGGTGCCCCTGGCCCAGCTGGTTCAGATGGTAGCATGGGACCAATGGGCCCCGTCGGCCCCTCCGGTGCCGTAGGAATGCCGGGAGACCAAGGAGATGTAGGCGAGCCTGGACCGGCCGGTGCCCAGGGAGAACGTGGTGACTCTGGAGTCCAAGGAGCACAAGGACCTCCAGGACCTCAAGGATTCGTTGGGGGACCCGGACGTCCTGGAGCCCAAGGAGCTCGCGGAGAGGGCGGACCTGCTGGAGATAAGGGAGCACCAGGACCTGCTGGACCTTCTGGTGCACCGGGTGATGCTGGACCTGCTGTAAGTTGCAATCTGTACTTCAGGGTCCGATTTACACCGTGCGGGGTAACGAGATTTGGTGCGTGTGAAAAAGTTGATTTTCAACGGGACTGTCGGGATGAACGAATAACTGATAAATGACACAAGAGTAGCCTCCAAAAAAAAAAAAAGTTTCTAGTTATTTACCAACCAATCTCTGCCTATCAAAACCATAAGCAATTTCAGCAATCAAAAGTTAAAAACATTGAGAAGACAGTGGTATAATCCAAAATACAATTCAATCTTGTTTGATTCTTTCCACTTTGCAGGGAGCCCCAGGAGCTTCTGGCCCACAAGGTGATCGTGGAGAGACTGGAGCACAGGTGAGCTCATTACTTTAAACAGCAGAAACAAAACATTTATGCCTTGAGCGTTTGATTCAAACAATAGTACGGACATATCATTATTCATACGCAAACATTTTAGTCTGGCCTTTTTTCAAATCCTGTGTACGTTATTTGTTTTATTTCCGAGTTAAAAGTTCTGTTGTTTTGCAGACTGGAAGTTGGGCATGTGCTAAGATGATGTAATATTTGTCAGACTACATATTTCCCTTGATTTGTAAATTTTTACTAATTAAATTCTTAGCGTAGCGATGCCAGTCTAAAGTCTATTTCTTTGTCTTCTTTTTTCTTCTTTGGTAGGGATCAATGGGACCCTCGGGACCAATGGGACCAGTTGGTGCACCTGGACTTGCTGTAAGTATTCTTCATAACCTTTCAGATCGGAGTAAATAGGCTTTAAGGAATGTACAACATTTGCTTTTGCTGCAATTTTCAGAAATATATGAATGTGGAGGATCAGTAACATACCAAATATTGTTAAAATGACTTGTTTTATGTTTTGGGCTTGTAGATGCTGGAAAAACCAAGAAAACTAATCCTGTTCTTGTAGTCTGGTTCCCTGACCCCACTTTTGATGAACCAGAACAATGTATAGACTTTGGGGAATTGTACGGTCAGAGAATCAGTCTAGCAGGCTTGTAGCCATTCACTGGTGTGTAATCAATCGCAAAGAAAATGCGGAATAACTAATTGTGAACAATTAGGAGCACTTTTTGAAAAGAGCCAGTTTTCTCCAACGCTGGTTGGCCCACCAGCTTTGGAGAGATACCATTTTTTCGTAAAAATGTCAGCACACCACGAGCTACAATTTTGCAGGATGCTTTAGACTGTCATTCCCTAACAATCCAGTAAGGTATTTCGTGATAATTTGATCATTTCGTTTTGTGATGTTTGCAAATGTTGTATCTTCCCTTTAAAATGCTCACTGAAACTCAGTGAATTATTTTGTGTGTGTGTGTAGTTCATTGTCTTTCGTTTCTGTAAAACAATCCACGTTTTGTTGGGTTTCATTAAAAATATTTTTGCTCACAAATGTATTACAAATATAAATGAAGTTTTGAATTGTTTTTGGTATATTGAACTTTAAAAAGGGCTTTTGTTTCCAGATGAAATGAGTTGAAAATTTAAGAAAGAAAAAATTCAGTTGAAATGAAAAGAAACATTTTGTCACCTTTTTGGTCAACATTTTGTATATTAAAATGTGTAAGTTGGATGTGTAGAGGATTAAATATGATCAGTTGGGGAGGAGATTCTGTCACGTACCTCTCGTTTCTTTCCAATCCAGGGACCCACCGGCCCAGCTGGACCAGCAGGACCTGCAGGAAACGATGGCGCTCCAGTAAGTGTGACTGTATTTTGGGATTGGCTTACCTTGGGAATTTTTTATCAAGTTTTCAAAGCTCAAAGCGCTGCCGCTAAAATTCTGCTGTACACTTGTAGACGCAGTCGATGTTGAGCAACAAATAAAATAAGCCGTTTTAAAAAAAATAAAACGCAGCTTTTGGAGCAATGTTCATGAGTTAGTAGACTTTACACATTCGTAATCGTATGAGTTCTGGACAAAATTTGCCAGCTAAAAGTCACGTTTTTTTAATCTAAATTCTCAAGTCACAGAGTTTGACGGATATTAGTTGATTTTTCCACTTCATGACAAAAACAGGAAATCGGTTTCTGTTGGTATTACGTAAAATGAAATTTTTGGACAGTCATGTGATGCTAAACATTTAGTTGACATTTGTGATGCTGAAAATCACTGGCTCTGTGCAGTTGCTTGGATCTTGAATTGGAGGCTTCCCTGCTGCTTGTCTTCATAGAGGGAGCAAGTTGACCTTAACAATCTGTCGGATTTTACGAGAATACAACACATCCGGGCACCATAAATAGGATCTACAACATGTGTGACATCCAATTTTTTTTGCATTTATTTTGTGTCCTGACCGGGCCCATCCACTCAAGGGCAATAAATGGGATTTCGAAAAAAAATTTTTTTTACAGTTTACAATATATTGAAAAAATTACAACTTAATGACTTGTGTAAATTCAAATTGTTGATCCTCAACTGATCAATGGATCACAGGGATATACCAATTGGTTAACTTGAAACACGGGAGTCTGTGACTAGACTAGTCAGTGTTTTGGTACCAAGACATTCACATAGAAATGAACAATGACCGGCGAGACTTACACGCTCTGTTCTGATTGAGGATTTTGATTTTCTCTTTTGTGGTTAGGGTGCTCGCGGCGAGTCTGGTGCCACTGGACGTCCAGGTGAACAGGGACCTCAGGGTCTGCCCGGACCCAGCGGAGATAGAGGAGAGAGAGGAAGCGATGGTTCTACCGTACGTTACCTTTTGTATTCTCTGGTTTTGCTTCATTCTTTTTGAAATGAAGAAACTACGGTTTCCTCCAAACTGTAACATGAATGCCTAAAGAAGCTGTTGATAAAAAAACAAAATACAAAAAGATGCAGATTAGGAGGTGGGAGGACAAGCTGGGACTAATACTACAGGAAGAACGAATGAAATCAGGCAGGGACGGAAACCCAATCCACATACTGGTACGGAAGAGAAGAAAAGTATCATCATAGCCAACCCTGACCGTTCCCAAGTGATGACGATGGACTGATATCAAATTCTCAACTTATTGATTTATCAAATTTTTTTTGTATGTTACAGGGTTCCCCAGGACCCCCAGGACCTGCTGGACCTTCTGGACAAATTGGAAACCTCGTGAGTAGAAGTTTAAAAAGAAATTTAAAATTGTTGATATTTTGAAATGAGATGTAGACAAATCTTAAGATTAATTTAAGATGATCCTCGCATTTAATTTTTAGATCGTTGTGATACATATTTCTCAGAAACCGTGTGATGCTCGTCATTAGCTTCCGTCGCAAGAAGTGTTGGTTTTGGTTTAGATGTTAATCCACATTTCATGATCTCATGATTTTTTTTTATTTAGGGTGTCAACGGAGCTCCCGGACCCCGTGGAGCTGTTGGTCAACCCGGTGCCAGTGTAAGTTCACTTTTTTACATTTTGTCTTCAACTTTGTATTTGAAGCCACCAAAATGCTCCAAGCTAGACATGACCCAACCCCCCCCCCCCCCACTCAAAAAAAGAGGGTTTATTTGTTGTCTTGATTACCTTTCATACGGTTGCCTTTTACTTTGAAGCAGTCCACAATCTTGTCTTTTAAAGTAAGTCATTAAGTGTGTATTGTAATACTAGTCTTTTTGTTTTTCATTTCTGAAAAGAAACAAATAAGATAAAAATCAATAATTTGATGTTTTAGGGAGAACCTGGCCGTGCTGGTAATGATGGAGCTCAAGGTGAGCGTGGAGCACCTGGTGCCCCAGGAGCCCCTGGCCCCGCCGGAGCTCCAGGAGATGCTGGTGCCCAAGTAAGTCCTTTTTTTTTTTTTTTTAATAAATATGAGTCAATATATCACACTGGTGTATGATTTCGTTTGGGGAGAGGGACGTTTAATGATAGGCTAATCAAGGCCTGTGACATTAGTGTCAATCTGGCCATCGTTCTGAATAACTTGATAGGCTACTCGTCCACTTGTCTAAAACCAAAATACATTTTGGTCAGCGTGGTCAAGTCGTTCTAATTACCGTTCAGTTCGATGTGACTCGGGGAATGTATCATCTGGCCAGCGTATACAGCAGTGCTTTTGAGATAGTTACAGTCAGTGCAGATGGAATGAGTGAACCATACATGTGATTCATATCCTAGTACCGATTTTTGCCGTTGTGTTGTTGGAATGGTTAACTGCAGCAACCCATTTTTGGGCTCGTTTTTTTTTTTTAGGGTGAGAGCGGAAACGATGGTGCCACTGGAGCAACCGGATCTCGTGGTGACAAGGGCGACCAAGGATCTACTGGACCATCAGGTGCACCTGGTGCCCCTGGCATAGCTGGTGCCCCAGGACCCGCTGGACCCTCAGGAGAGCGTGGCGATACTGGAGCCCCAGGAGCCGCTGGACCAGCTGGCCCCTCCGGACAGCGTGGAAACACTGGACCTGCTGGACCCTCTGGCCCATCCGGAGTCGCTGGTGAGCGTGGTGCTACAGGATCACAAGGAGCGAAGGGACATCCGGGTATGCCAGGTCTGCCTGGTATCCAGGGACCTCCGGGTGTTGGTGGTGAGGTTGGCCAAGCCGGTGGGGCCGGATCCCCAGGAGCTAGAGTAAGTGGTCTAGATCGTAGCTGTGAATTTTCATCATCTGCGGTTTTTGTCTTCAGCCAGAGTCATCGCTGCAATCAGTTCCAGAATTACGATTTAATTACCTGCAACAATCAGATTAAGCAAAACAAGCAGATATGACATATTCAACAGAAAAACCAAAACTGGGAAAAGAGAACTGAACAAAAAAATATCAAAAAAATTGTATTTGATGCTGTCTGCCTCTTACTGATCCAAAAACGCTGGTCTTCAAGTATTTCTTTGTTAGGTGTGCTTTGGAAAAGTTTGGCACGCGTTTTCAGCAAACAGTAAAGTTTGATCCCGAAGACAATTTGCTAACACATTAATTTCCCACACTTCACCTCAAATGGTTTTTCGTTTTCTTGTTTTATTCAGGGAGCCCCAGGATCGAGAGGTGCCAATGGAAAGGATGGAGTAACTGGTGCACGTGGATATGCTGGACAAGAGGTGAGTGTACAACAACAGTTTTGCTTTTGATAATTGAAGACCTTTTTTTGCCCTTTTTACTGCAGTTCAGCACAGCTCCAATCTGCTAGGTAATGTTTCCATACCTAATTGAAGGGTTAAAATACCATTCCGAGTATAGACACATCAGGGATTTGTCATAAACGCCAAGAATGTTAAGAAGCCTTTCCGATTTGCAGATAAGTTAAAGGAATCATGCTGTGGAAATTCAGCTCATCTTGTTTTCATGCACATTACTATGTGTTGCAACAATACATACAAGATCTAAATACTTGTTTTCATTGGAAGTGACAAGAAAGTGGTAATTTTTCAATTATTAGTCCTTCCAAATTGCCCACAAAAAAAAAGTTGAAATGTTATTCAAAACTACTATTGTCCAAACAAGCTGTTTAACATGATAAACAAGTTAAAAGAAGAACTTGCCCCAAGAAAATTAAGGAAAGTTTTGATATACATTTGTACACAAAGCTACAGAGACACTACTGTTCTGTCTTGAATGACATCACCCTTTGGCTCATGAATATGGAAATTTTCATTAGCATAAAAACTCAAATGTTGCAATTTCTTCCTTTTACTGCTACAAGGGAGTTGGAAAGTCATACTAACATGGCAAGAAAGCTGTTTTAAATGTATCTAAGTCATAAAAATCCTATTGCATGTTTCCTTAAACATTTTTGTATTTCTTTCGTCTTTGTTTGGTTTTGACAGGGCCCACGTGGTCCTCGTGGTGAGGATGGACAACAAGGACCTGCTGGACCACCAGGACCCCCAGGACCTCCAGTAAGTTGTGACTTCTTATATTTTGAAGTTGAACCGTTCTTTTTTTGTGTCCACACACAAGGGTAGTAAAACAAAATGCTCAGTTCACACGATCTGATACACCGTGCCCTCTGGAGACATGCACACAATAGGGAACAAAAGATTGTATACAGGGCAATTTCTATAGATGAATACGTCTCCACAAGGTTTTCACGAAATAGATATATGGATTTTACTCAAAAACTTGGAATTTCCAAGGTATGTTGATTTGTCGCAAATGGTAGAGTTTTAGAAAAGGGATAGTAAGTCAGAAATTCAGCCAAGGAGATTAATTCTGGTTAAAATAAGAGCATTTTGAAACTACTTTCAAACTCGAAAACTTTAGTACACGAGAACAAAGAAATGTCTCCACAAGGATACAAATTTCAGTATGAGTGGTGTGACATGTGCATGTGCACTTAATACTAATGTGGTCATACAGCGCTTTATATCAAAATGTCTGCTTCACAACTATTACCCCTGTTGGTCAGACGACGAGACAGGGGCTCTAGATCAGAGCAATCTGGTCTCTACCTTCACAGGTACCCATACATTTGTTTGGATTCTAGTTGCTCTGCGGTGCGATCTGAGGATATTTCTGACGACTTTAACGAATTCAATTTTGGGGGAGAAAGTCTGATCCAGGCAGTGAAAAAGATCCTTCTAGCATATAATTAACTTTGTCACTTACTTACAATTCACTTCTCTCTTTGCTTTACAGGGACCCCCAGGTGAAGTGGTAAGTTCATATTTTTGTCTTTTGTCAAAGTAATATTAAATGCCTTACAAATTAAAAGAATGACTTTTTCCAATCAATCACCTGTCTTGAAAGTAGTTTAAGTGACAAACAAAGCTGTTCACATCTTTGTAATTTGTCGAAGTAATATTTAATTTATTACAAATTAAAAGAATAGTTTTTGTAAATAAATTACCTATCTTAAAGAAGATAAAGTAACAAACAAAGATGTAAATTTTACTGCTGAATATTAATCTGATTAACTTAAGGTCCAAAAAAGCAATGAAAAAAAAATCAGTGGTATAACTTGTGAATTTGTTTGTGAACATAAAAACTGCAATTGTCATTCATTTCATTTTAATGTTAATAATTACAGCAAGCCAGCTATGGCCTAAGCTACCCGTACGCCAGCTCGGGAGGAGGAAAGGGAGGTGACCCGTACGCAGGATCATATGGCTACGTGAGTATTGCTCATTATTTATTCCACATGGTCGATCACACCCTGAAGTGATGCATCTTGAAAAGTTGCCACCGATTGACGTTTCATGTGCACAATGTCCACAGACGATCTTTCGCTTCAAGTGTGCAGCGACACTGTCACATTCATCACATCGTGATGCAGGTGGCGATATAATCCTTTCCAAAGCAAAAGGAAGGGTATGCCGAGGTTGCAAAGCATGGATGAATCCCCCTGATTTTCAAGTTTTTTTACCAAGAACTTTTGAGAAAAAAAAAAAAGCATTAAGAAGAAAAATTGAATTTGTTTTTCATCAGTCTGGGTACAGTTGCATCATTTTCTTGAACTAAACCCTTTTATGGCATGTTTGTTCCCCCTCCCCCCCCCCTCGCCCCACTCCAACCACCACAGTATGGAGATGCTGCCTCCAAGGCTAAGGCCAAGCCCATGGACAATCTGGAGATCAGTCTGGTCTTGGCCTCTCTGGACAAGCAGATCAACGACCTCAAGAAGCCAGAAGGCACCAAGGATAACCCAGCACGCACCTGCAAGGATCTGTTCCTCTGCAACACTGACTTCCCAAGCGGTAGGTTTCTATACGACTGTCACTACACCCCCATGCCCTGTATTTTACGATATGCTAAGTCTCCAAAGCGCCCCACAATTATTACCCTCACAAGCACAATCTGGCCTCTACCCTCACATGTGCCCAATGAAACTCTAGGGTGGAGAGAGGCACTTGTAGTTAAGTGTCTTGCCCAAGAACACAAGCCCCATGTTCTCTGTTAGGCGTCGAACCCATGTTCAATGCAGGATTCTAATTCCTCAGTTTCATGGTGTGCTGCACTGCGCATACCCTTCACAGTTCACCAGCCAACGATATCAACAATAGTCAAACTCCTCCATGCTTGCCTGTTGTTCCCTCCTACTCGTTGCCCCTCCCTTACCCTCTTTAGGCCCACACTGATGCAAAGCATCGGGAATCTGGAGTGAGTTAAGCTGACGAGTTGGTTTGATCTTGTTTCCCTTTCCAGGTTATTACTACATCGATCCCAACCAGGGATGCACCGCTGATGCCATCCGAGTCTATTGCGACAGAGACAGCAACGAAACTTGCGTTGAGCCTAAAGTTGCCCAGGTGGGTTTCAATTGCTCTCGTACCTTTGACAAGCTTTAGGACATTTTGGACACTCCTTCAATTAAGGACATTCCTCGGAGATCTTTCCAATTTGTTTTGTTTTAAATATTTACTTAGGACAAAAAAGTGAAATATGACAAGCTGTATTCTTCAAAGGAAACTGAAGAGAAGAAATTGTTTGAATGGAAGGGATTACAGTAAACTCCGGCCAAGTCAACATCGTATAACTCGTCATATCTTTTAAATCGACCGCTTGACAAAAGTCCCGATCGTCTCTAATGCAATTCCGAGAGTGCTGTCTGAGCCAGGGTTTACTGTACCTTATTTCTGATTCCATAAATGTCAGGCTGAGCTTTCAACATTTTGACCATAAAAAAGCCTAGATTTACCGTATAATCAATTTGTTCCACTTTAGACTGATCCAATTTTTATCTCCTTGTTTTCAGTTCTTGAATAAGACTTGGGAAGGCGAATCCAAGACTGTCTACCTGAGCTCCCTCCTGAATACCGACAAGGTATTGCTATTTGATATCTGTTAATGAAACCAAGGATTAAATAAAAACCATCCATGTAGCTTGCAAGTCTGAAGAAACCTACAGAGAAACTGCAACGTAGAAATCATCGGTTTTTCTCTGTGGCCCCGGGTTCAAATCCTGCCTGAAACGGATCTGTATGTTCCCTCCCCCCTAAAGTGCATAGGGTAAGGCGAAATAAGGGGGCCACGGAGGTGGAAGGCGAGATAAGGAACACTATGCACTTTAATTTCTTTGGGGGGGGGGGTTCCTAAACTAAATTTGATCAGTGTACTATATTCATGATTTCTTCTTTCGTTTCTTGTATTCATGATTTTGTCTCTCGTGTCCAACTCCCACAGATTGAGTACAATGTCACTGACCAGTCTCAGCTGACATTCCTCCGCCTGCTGACCACCACCGTCTCCCAGAGCATCACCTACCACTGCAAGAACTCCAACGCTGACCTCAAGCTCATGACCAGCATAGACATCGAGCTAACCAGGGAAAACGAAGTCCCCAGCAACCGATTTGATGTTCTCGCTGATAACTGCGCAGTAAGTTTCTCACCAATTTTTCAGGGCTCAAAGTTAAAGGCCCCCCACAAAATGATCCACTTGACCCAAGGGCTTGTTGCTTTAAAATTTTGTTTGACCGGAAGTATTTTGATGTTCTCGATGATGGATGCGCAGTATGTTTCTCAATCAATTTTTCAGGGCTCAAATTTAAGGGCCCCCCCCAAAAAAAAATCCACTTGACCCAAATCTCAGCTGTGAAATCTCAGCTTTAAAGCTGATTTCAGCTTTTTTTTGTTTGGATTTCAGCTTTTTCCCTCACTTGCTGTGTACAAAAGTATAGGAGATTTCAAAAGTTCAGCTTTTTTACATCTTTCTCAGCTGTTTTCAGCTATTTCTATCAGTGGTCACTCACACCCCTGGGCTTGTTGCTCTGCAATTTTGTTAGACCGGAAGTATTTTGAGAAGAGCATTCATGAAAGATGCTGGAAACAGGAAATATACTGCAGCATTCTCTTTCATTTGTACAACTGGTAAATTTGGAAACAAATTTCTCAACTGAGATCAATTGGGATGCCTGGATGCTACTGAAGGGCCACCACTTAAGTCATTTGTTGAAATGTTGAAGTTGTTCTTCCAGCATCTCAGTGGATTTATTATGTGTGTTTTCATTTTATCTTGTTGTGATGAAAGAACATAAAACAAATGAAACTAGTTTTCAACCTGCATGTTTCAAATTTGAAGGGAAAAAAAAATATTCAAAATTCAAACACAAATTGAAACTTCCGTTAATAGGTTGTAAACCCTGTGGTTGTCATTTCTCTCTAAGATAATGGGGTTTGGAATAACTTTGTAATGTTTTAAAACCATTTAGAATTGAATTGAATCAACTTGATTCAAGCCACATGCACTTCCAACAAGTTAGCATATAGACCAGGAAATTTGATTGGCTGATTGTTGGGGTCTTGTCTATTCAACCTAGGTTAAGAATGGCCAATGGCACGAGACGAGACTGGAATACACCACCACCACAAGGAGCGGCCGTCTACCAATCACTGATGTCGGAACAAGCGACATCGGAGGAAACGCAGAGTTTGGTTGGGAGATCGAACCAGTATGCTTCGTGTAGGCTGCCTTCTTGAAAAACCTCAACTGCATAGACTTTTGTGTGAATAGAAGCTTCTCAAATTAAAAAAAAACAACAGAATTAAATAAAATAAAAAGAACGTAATATGTCTCGGTGCTAGCGATCGTTGTTTACTTTAGGCATTTTTTTTTCCTTTTTTGGTTAATTCCCCTTCGAGAAAACGCACTGTCTTGAATGAACTCAGTTATGTAGTGATGAGCCAGTAGATTAATCTGACAGACTGTTTTACCAACTTCCTCAAAGTAGAAAATCCAAATCATTAACAGGGATACATTTATCTTTTGGATGTGCATTTCCATCGGTAGAAAGAACTTATTTTTAAGCTTTTCAAAGGTGCTTTTAAGGATTTTTAAAAAATTTAAGTATTCAATTACCCCACGCTCATTAAACTTCTCATGTAGAATTTAGAGCAGTGTACTGTGAAACATTTAACAACCAACTCATAATTCTTGCTACCAGAAGAGCTTAACTTAGACACAGTAAAAGTTAAAAAAAACACTCATGTATATAATGATCAGTTGCCGATTATGCACAATAGGCTTGGAAAGTACTAGAGTATTGAAAGACAAAACTTCCTATTGTATCAAATGTAAAAAAACAAACCATAAGATTCAAGATTAAACTCACCAAATAAAAAATGTTCTACCTTAGCGAGATTGTGTTTAGAATTTAGACTCCTTTAGTTCAATATAGATGTGTGCTTTGAAATTTTACCAGATTTAGAGTGGTTGTTTACAAAAGAAAAAGACTTGTTTACTGTCAGACATGCTGAACTGTCGATGTTTGATTTCAAAGTACAGGTCAAAGTGTTGTCCAATTCTTGCCAAATTTTGCCCGATGGGATGTTTTTTTATCTAATTTTTTTTTTAAAATAGAAGCAGCCAGTACAGACTCAGGTCAACTCGATTATGGATTTATTCTACAATCCAGAATAATTTGTAGTCTATATTTTTATACCACTTTTCCCAGTGTACTTGTTTCCATATGGAACACAATTATGTAAAAAAAATCTCATTCCATTTTAAGAACAAACGACATGCGCTTTGTATAGTGGATTCGGTGGAAATTTGTAATTTTACTGATAATCACTAATTTTTTTTTGCTGCAAAAAGAAAGAGGAAAATACACTATGCAAATGTCATCCACAAGGATGACCTTTGGTGCTTCTTAAAAAAAAAAAGACTGAAAGTTGATTTTTTTTTTCATTTCTAAGTTCTCCACTTTTCCCATGTCCGCTATTTCTTTTACCCATGTCTTCTATTTCTTGAAGTGGAACAGTTTCAAGTGTTGGTTTAAAGTGCATAAAAAAAATGGGGGGAAAAAAAATCGTTATTTGAACACTTTTTTAGGCTGAAAATTTCACCAGATTTTTAGTGTTAGTTCAAAGTGTGAATTACTTCCAACAATGGTATTCTTTACACTGGCGTAAAGAAACACTTGAAGTTGTTCCCAGTTAAAGATTGAGAGTGTGTGTGTTTCTTGGCCCTTGAATTTTTTTTTATTGTTAGCTTATAAGGATTTGATTGCATGAATACACGTATCCAGCTTGTACCCGCTCAGTGCTTGCATAGTAAACCGGCTCATTCAAGCTTCTTCTTTTGGTGGTCTTTGCTTTAAACTTCAAAAATTCTACTCTTGACCCTGTTCTAGTCTGATCCCAAATATCAGTTTAAAAATATCATCAGATCAATTTTTCCCCCCAAAAAATTGAAAACCCTATAGACCAACATAATCGACAAATTAAATGAAAATACCCAACTACCTAAAAATTGTTTGATGGAGATTTTCTGTTGAAGAGGAATGCCCTTTGACAGCCGGGCTGAGTCCCCTCCGTTGTTCGTTGCTTGTTTCCTCCTATTCACTTCTTGCTGAGCCAGCAATCGATGATCGAGTGAAAGTTTGAGTTTAAATTTCCCGCCAAATGGCTTTTTAAAACTCGCAGAGTTTCTCCACTATTTCTATATTCGTTTAGTTGTTCAGATGAAAATGTCGTGAAAATAGAACTACTACCTCAATGCTTAGGCTTAGTATTATTTGTAATATCCCCAGCCCAGAGAAAAAAAATTGAAAAGTTCTGTGGCAAAAAAAATTGGATGCGTAATTTAAAGAAGTTAAATTTTGTTAAAAGAAGAAAGGAAAAAAAACAAAAACCTTGCCTTCGTCGTTGCAAAAAATAATGAGCGGCCGTCTACACACAAATAAAAAAGCGGCCACCTAGACGGCATCTTTTGAAATATTCCGAGTTTTCCACGTGAAAATTGTCTGCAGCGCAGAAAGTTAACAAGTAGCCATTGGTTAAAAATTTGGGGCAAGTTAAATGAAGAACGTGATTGGTCAATAAAAAAACTTGCTAAGACCACCTGATGGGGGCGCTGTACTCGATCCGCATTATATCAGCGCAGCACTCAGACATTGGGCGGATGTTGGCTGAGAGAGAGAAGCTACTTATTGACTCGTGATTTTACCGTAAATTTTCTTGTGAATGGCGGCCATTATCCCGATGTTCTGAGAAAAAGGAGATCCTAAAAGGTTAGTTTGTACTTGTGTGTATTGTTTTGTTATTGGTCTTTGCTCCCTTATTTACGAGTTTTATTCGCCTATAAAACATGATAAAAGCATAAGACCGTTTGCCACTTTGTGGGCTTTGCGGGGGGGGGGGGAGGGTTGAAGGGGGTGGGGGTGACATGGCACAGGACACTAATTGGACCCCCAATAAATAGAGAAGGATAATAAGGGAAATGAATAGGCCTAGATAGTGGATATTTTCCCGGTTCCTCAGGCTAGATTGTACAGCGCCCTCTATCATGCCTCTTTGACGCGTGTATAGTCGGACTCCCTATAGTATTATCGCGGCATCCCTATTGTAGTATTATCGCAGCATGGGAAATTTCTCTTTTTGGCATCCCTATTATAGTATTATCGCGGCATGGGAAATTTCTCTTTTTGCAGTGCCAAAACTCCTCCAAGTGGCGATTTTTATCCAGTTCACCAGTCATCAAGGATTTTCTACTGAGTTGTATAAAAAGGACGATTAAAAAATGTTGTGTCTTTCGGGACTTATAACGATTTTAATAAATATTAACTTTTTCCAAAACTTGCAAAATTTCCCTCACCGTGTCTGCTAAAAGGTACCGTTTATATTTTAACATTAATCTTTAATTGTGCTCTGTCCATGAAAGTTCCATTGACATTGTCTGGTTCCCATTCTTCAGCTGCAAATGTAAAATGAAGTCGAACGACGATCATTTGCAGCACGCAATCGTAACAACTTTTACGGGATCAAAATAGGCTCCGCGTGTTAGCGAAAATATAACGGCACACAGTATAAAGTGAATGGCGCCCTCAATTGCCGATCAGTAGACTTGCCTCAGGAATTTGCATTCTCCTTTCGGGAGAAGGGCAGGGTCTTAAGAAATCATCCTGTAGAAATATAGTCTTTAATCAATTTGAACATTACAGGGAAAATATCAGACTTTATTCAGGGGATGTTTTGGTCAAACATTAATATGAATAAAAAAGTTGGGATCATTATAAACACCACTTCCCACATACCGCGATAATGGGGAGTCCACCTACGTTCGCACACTCCGCGCATGTCTATTTTCACAGGCATCGTACACGGAATAAACCACACCACCGTCAGATTTTAAAAAGGAAGAGTTATACAACCTAAGAGACAGAACAATTCAGGAAGGTCACTGGGCAATCTCTCTTCCGAACGAGAAACGTGATAAGTACCGCGAGAATAGGGCAACCCATTCTACTTAACTTAAGTAGGCTAGGCTAGGCAGGCCTGCCCCTAGGCCCTGGGCAGGCCTGCCTAGACTAGGCTACACATACAGTACTATCGCAAGCTCTGTAGTACGGCCAGACAGCCAATGCTCCCCTAAACGCTAAACTCTGATGTAACAATTTTGCTGCCAATTTTGATTGAAATTATTTCTCATTCAGGACAGACATTTCCAAAGTTGAGGTTCCTAGTCGTAGAGTAACTCGTACCTTTTCGAAAGAACGTTCCTTTATCTAAAAATCTTCATCCATCTGGCCAACAGACGACTTTCAGTCATCATGTCCCACAAATATTCGTCCCGAAAATATTCCCCATGCGATTTCAAAATGGCGGCCACGTTGTAATGTTTGCATTATGCGGGCGCGCTTGAGCAAGATTATGAATCAGCTAGATTATGAATATTCATTGTTCAGTTCATGACCTCGTGTTTGTATGGCCAGCCGCTCCGCTCGCCTGACAATCGTCATGAACTAAATGCAAATATAGGCCTTTGTATAAATCTCCAAAATGGGATATTGAACATAATCGTGAAATTATGAAAAGTGTATTGGCATTGAAAAAAAAAAAGGAAAAAGAAAGAAATTATGTTTGAAAAGCTCAGGAAATATATTTTCCTAAAGCCATCAAGTCTTAGTTATTAAAAAAAATGTTTATATTGAGTTACATGGCCTGGACAGCACATATTTTTCAAGAAGCATCCCCTGCGCAGAATTAGGCAGGATTCTTTTCTACAAAGCCAAAACTGCACGCTTTGGAATTCCCCGCTTGCTGCCACAAATAAAGAGATTTTGCTTTGTTAATCGGTACGGTGGATGATCGTAAGCCAACAATATAAGTTTTGTTGAGGAAAAGAGTGGTTGCTTTGCTATTTTTAAGCTACTGGGTTGCAAAGCCTTATCTACGCAGAAATAGGAGGATCGAGGAGACAGTCGTTTTCCTAGTTCCAGATAGCAAACATCATTCAGGCAGCTTCTAGCTCAACTACTCCACGAATTCAAGTGACATTCATTAAAAAGTTTACCCGGCTTGAGTGATGGAGATACTACACTATAATTTTCCAAATTTAAGCTCCTTTTAATTTGACTTTTCGACGTCAAAAGTACCGATGCTCTTTTTCCTAGTTCCGGATCGGTTCAATCAGTTCCGAATCGATCAAACACTGCTTCGCACACAAAATAAAGTCACGAGAGAAAATCAATTTTTCAGCCAGAAAAACCCTGAATCAAGCACATTTCTGATAAAGTATTATTTAATTTTTTAAAAATAGTTCAAGAGAATTCCAGCAAATTTTAAAAAGAGAAAAACGTAAAAGAGAAAACCCTCTGCAGCGCAACGGCACGAACTCGCACTCGGATTTGACACTGCACAGAATACGTCACACAAAATCGATTAACACGCGTGTAGTTGGGTTGTAAGTGCACGCGTGATCCGGAACTAGGCAAAAACATATGGTCATTTGTTGGCAAATTTTCAAAAATTAGAGACTCTACAACTTATTTTGATTCAACAAAAGTTCGATGGAAGAGGTAATATGACTGTAGTGTATGAACAAAATATTCGAAATCACACGGTACGAGTGATTTACCGAGGAGAAAATTTATCGTTGATTTGCAGCTCCCACGATTTTCTACAAACCGTCCAAACATGTCCTCTTCTTAAGATTTTATCGAAAAGATCTTTGTGCATCAAGAAGCTTACATTTTCCTTTTCAAAATGTACTTCGTCAGAAGAAAAAAAAATAATTGGAGACTTATCCAAAAGAGGTAGGTTTTTATTTGAAGTGATCCCGAACTAGGAAAAATCCAGAACTAGGAAAACGACTGTATATCTAACTAAGCATGCGGGACATCATTTCATTCCAAAATCAGGACTAAGACTGTGATTGGTCAATTTCAATGCCACGTTTTTGTAATGTATAACAACATGTTAAAAAATGCTACTCATTGTGGGCGTGATGTTTACGCACGCGGGGAGCTCGCATTAGGCACGTATAGAACATGTAGAAGGTGCCTGCTGATTGGTCAGTTTCTCGAGGTGATACGCAGTCTAGTCGCATAATTAATCGCCGAATCTGTTTACATATCATAGACTAGCTAGGGTTACCTCAGCCCTATATTTGATCATAATTGGGTTGTTGCATTTGGTGTTGTATTGTACTAATACAACCACCCAATGATAAAATATAGGGCTGAGGTAACCCCAGCTATAATCATAGACTATGGTCGGCTTCGCCAGGGCCAGGGTCTATTACATAGACTAGTGCAGCACCTGTGGCCGAGTGGATAGTGTTTCTATCTCATGAGTGACAGATCCCTGGTTCTTCTAGCCTGGCTATCGACATTTTCAACGTAATTTTTATATCATCCCAAAAATTTAAGAATAATCTTCTAAGTTATTAAATTTCAATTGACTCCAACATTTTATTGCAGATGCAGCTTATAGGCTATTACATTTTCTTTTTTTCTGATTCTTGGCCCTGGAGGATTTATTTTTAAAGGGAAATAAAACTTGAAATTGTAAAAATGGTCTGATTCCCATCTTGTGAATATAAAGTCACAACAGTGTTGGTGCAGATCCAGACTTTGATTTGTTACGGTAACAATTTGTAACGCATTGGAAGTCCCCAAAAACATTCACTGCGTATGTTCAGTGCCTATCCGGCAAAATATCGCTTTACTAAATAAAAGAAAGCCTGATCCGGCTAAATATTCATTGCCAAATTAATAGTGGAGATGAGGTCATGGAGTGATGAGCAAGGGACAGAGGGTGCCCTAACTTACCTAGGATCAGTTGGGGGG